ATTCTTACAAAGCCTTCTAAGTTTCATTCAGTGACCAAAATGATGTGGATGGGTATCCTTGAAATTCCTTCACACAACAACAAAAACAAACAAAAAAAACCCCCACACACATAAAACAGGGGAGATGATTTGAAAGAAATAGCACATTAATTTCTCAGTAGACTGAACATTTTGGCCGATTACTTCAATTAATAACCCAACAGCATAATCATTAGTCAAGGGAAATTCAGTCCGAGCACTACTGGGATAGAAAAATATGACTGATTGAGAGCTTCCACTTCATTATCCCTGTGACAGATGAGAACGTAAAGATTATTATGTGCTAAAGAGACATTCTGCACTTTTTAGGAGCTTCGCTGAGGGTGGACACCGAGTTTTAGCGCTCTAAACGGTCGACGAGGTTTTCTGTCTGTGTGGAGCAAAGATATACGTTTACTAATTTGATATCTGCGGCATGTTAAGTTAGCTTCGTCGGGAAAAAATTGGCAGTTTTGTTAGTTGAAAAACAAATGATCTTCAAACAACCTCAAATCAGAACACTTAGTTAGTCCACTAGAAATTAAAAAGGTTTCAGTGTTTTCTAATTTCCTCTAATTATTCTCAATTGGAAGGGAACCTGAACTTCTGCCTGACATCCAGGAACAAAGACAATCCTATCTGGATATAAAACGCATGCGGTAATACGACCAGCAGGCCCTCGTCTTCAGGGACGTTTCTATAATGGGCGGCCTGATCTAATAAGCGCATCCCATCAGAGACGCGTAACCAGCTCTGATATCACGGGCCGATTTGTTTGATATTGTAAACTTTCGACTGCCACACCTGCTAAATCCATCGGCGGGCGGGTGGGGATGTTTGAAGAAAGCAACAACAAAAAAGAAGAGAAGGGAAAGCAGGATTTAGGTGTTGACTGTCGCAAAACTCTTCAAATATCACGGCCTCACAATTTATTTTACAGGTGCACGAGCTCCGTTTGATTCTTTCTGAAGCACTTGCACCGTCTTAGACACCTTTGAAGATAACAGCCAAAGCAGAGGAGGGGTTGTGGGGGAGGGATGGAATGAGATTTTTAGGTGACAGAAGTGACAAAAGTTCCTGGATAGATGTTTGGCTTTCATCGGCTGCATCTTAGAAACTAAAGGAGCTTTAATCCCCTTTGCTTCTTCTTCTTCTTCATAAAAAGAAGCCCCTACTTGAGGTAATGAAGGACAAAAAGTGAATTTACAAAACCACTTTCTACAGGTAGATATGTGATCAGGTGACATGTCGAGCTCATAAGGTGTGAGTTTTTTGCCACCCTAGCAGCATGTGTTCCCATTCAGCATCATAGGAAGCTTAATTTCTCGCCAAATATTTCAATTTCTTTGTGATCGAGTCACACGATGTTGACGAAAATCGACAATAATGAGCTGAACGCGGTTCTGCTGCTGTCTTTTAATTACATTCTCCTCCCTGTAACTGCACGGCTAGAGTTACCGCGATCGATGTATATCAATACCTGCTTTCCTCAGACTTCCATGGCTGCTAACAAGCCGAAGATAAGACTCGGCTGCTTTAAAATGCTAAACAAGAAAGCACCTATTAACAGTTTAATTCAGTGTAATGTCGTTTGACCTTAAACCCCCGATATGATAAGTAGGTTGGCGACTAATTAAAGCACAACAGCATCCTCTCTGCAAACATTTAATCATCACGTATGAAACAATCACACGATATGTAGGTTACATCCTAAAGAGAGCTGTGAAAGTCGTTTGTGAAGTCGCGAAGATGACGACAAAATGCGGATTATAGGAAAAATACTGGCAGCGGAAAAAAAGGTGAACTGATACTTGAATCAACTCAGACGGGAAAACAACAGCGGCAGAAAAGTCATGCTGTCATTCCTTCACCCTCTATCTCTCGTACAAGGAGGTTTAGAAACCCTGTGGGGTGATTTGACATTTTGTCATCAGGCTGATTATGTTTCCTGCAGGTTCATCCCTCCTCAAATCTCTCTCACACACACACACACACACTGAGGCAAACACACACACACAACTGCTCTATACTCCATCAAGGCCTTTCACTTTTTCAGAGTTTATGGGTCAGTGAGAACTGGACAACACGAATGCAGACAAAAGGCTCAACAGAATTAAAATAACCTGCCTGGCAATGGGAGAGAGGAAAAAAAAAATTCAATGCATACTAATGGAAGTAGGTGCAGAAAATTAGGCAGGCAACAAAAAAAAAGGGGGGGAAAAAGCTTCATACTGTGTTATGGAAAGCTTGGACTGATTTCCTTTGGCTGTACACAAGCAAACCAGCACGAGAATTCAGCAGTTTTTCAAAATTAAAACTTGAGTCAAAGCGGTTTGCAACTGAAACAACAATTTTCAAGACCAAAGCTGTACCTTCCTGCGCCCCTGTCCTGACCCCTATCGAAAAATGTTTCCTGTCCAAATGATGTAAGCTGCTGTCAGACGCATTTTTAAAAAAAAAATAAGCTCCGTCCTTTTCCCCTTCCAAGGATTTCAGAATTTGGCTATTCAATTGTAATTTGATCAGTCGGAGGCAGAAGATAACTGCTTGTGTGACAGCTTTTTCTGGGAAAGTTATTGTAGACTGGGCAATGATGGGCAGGCGCCTTGGGCAAAGACTGTCTTCTATTCCCTCCGTGACACCTACACAGATAATGTTAGTCCATCAGCTCCTGTGAAATAAAACGAACACATACACAGAAGCTGCGCCGCGGCTGTAAGTCAGCGGCTATCAGTGTGAAAATTATTGTCCCTTCCATTGAGACAAACCCGACCTGCCGCCTGCACCTTGTCACGGCTCGTAGCGCGGTAAGCAAGGCTTTGTGGCTGAACTCCCTTTCTCTAGCTTTTCAAAGAGGCCAATATGTAAGTTAAAGCATAAATTTTGCAATTATACTCACATCCTCTTGACTTATTCAGACTTTGATGTGCTTTTGAGACAGCCCAATTGACTCATTTTAAACATTTCAATGATGAAAGACTTCCATCGCAGCTCTCAGGATGAAAAATCATTAAGAGCCCTCATATCTTGATCGCCCACGCCTTCTCTTTAGATGGCACTTGCAGAGAAATATGCACCTATTTAAATTGCTACTGGCAGTTCATTTGCCACTTGAAAAAGGAAAATCACTGCCTTGAAGACACAAGAAGCATTTACAAGCACTTGGTTAACAGAACCGGCCCAACAGGCTCAAGTAGCTTCAATAAGGCCCCGAGAGACGGGAGGGGAGAATGAAGAGCTGGGGGGTAATGTGTTTTTTTTCTTGACCGATGAACGCTCAGAACAGCTAAAAGAAATGACTGAATGTCTATATTTAGGTTGTATAAATATCTGACACACTCACCTGAAAAATGTCACAAAGAATTGGACGAGGTCCATGATGCTGTTGTGCTGAGAGAAGGCAATCTGTTAGAGGAAAGGAGGAAAATGAGTTACTATCAAAACACCACGACAGCCATTTAAAAACGCTTTTTTTTTTGTTGCTGGCCATTTTTAAGCTTTTATTCTGGCGTGGCAGTGGAGAGCGTGAGGGCAGGTAGAGGGAAGAAAGCATGGAATGACGTACAGCGGACTCTAAAACGTCTTTTGTGCCGTCATAATAGCACCATAAATCATCACTCCACACACAGGAAATATTATTACAGCTTACGTTTTTTAACTTGTTTCTACACTCGTCTCTGAAACACAAAGTCCCTGAATTTTTGTTGTGTGACTGTTGGTCACGGTGGGGTCACTGAAGGCATCACGGCTACACCTAGTAGTTGGAGAATTAGATGAAAGCAAGCATTTATTGTTTGTACAGTTTAAAATAAGATTTGTAGAATTTTAAATTAAAATTTTAGATTTGGCCAATTTTTCCGACGCGTCGCACATGTTCTGTTCAAGGACTGTCGGAAAAACCCAGCGGCAGAAGAAGAAGGTTGAAATCTTCCAATAAATTAGAATATGCAACGAAATCTTACATTGAAATACATGAACGCTGGTATAATGACGCAATAAATCTATAATCTACGAATGTTTGCGCTAGCTTTATTTGGAGGGTCAAAATACTCTGGTGCTGGAGAACGTCGAGTAAAAAGCCCGCCCTTAACGTGACATGGTGTGGACAGGTCAAGTCGCCATTAAGAACAAAGCGGAGCGGCTAAAAGGTCACTGACGAGGCTCTCGGAAAGGACCCACTAAAGCTGTCTGTGAAAATCTGTTTGAAAGTAGTAGAGCAAGACACAAACAAGAAAAAAACCCAGAAAGTTCCTGCCAGGAGACGACAGGATTCATTTAATCAACTGGATAAATCTGGCGCCTGACCCAAGAGCATCCCATGAAAATTAACTGATTTATTTAGACTTGAAATTAAATCTTCCCTATACTTATACAGGGGTTTTCTAGAATAAAATTGTATGAGGGAGCAAAATGTGTTGAGGGAGCGAAGCGAACAAGGTGGGGGAAGTTGCCTTTGGAAAACTAAAGCTCGAATGGGACATTCTGAGGCTAACTGAGGGAGAAATTTTAGCTCATGAAACTTCAGAAATCAAGACATTATCAACTGTTGAGCAATTGTTGTTTGGTTAGAATTGTAATACAGCTGTAGTCTGTAAATGAAAACATGACAAATACTAGTATTGGCAACACTTCTATTTACTAGTACCTGGAATGTTCTTACATGCCTGTACTGCACCATGTTACACATACATGTACTTTAACCAGTGTAACAGTGTGAGGGAGCAAGACCCTGTCATGTACACTAACCTGAGTATAACATAATGTCACGGAGTAAGACCTTATCATACATGTACATTAGCCACTGCCAGTATGACACAGTGTGAGGGAGTAAGACCCTGTCATGTACACTAACCACTGCCAGTGGTCATTCAGTCTCGAAATCTCGCTGTGTAGGTCAGCTGACCTTGCATGTAACCTATATGAAATCTCGTGAGAGCAGCCAACACCAAAACAATATGGCGCCTCGGCATGGAAAACACCAATTTCAATTGTTTTTTGCACCGTCTAACGGTGTATCTACCGCAATCGGAATATGCTGGAGTCATTATAACGTTGTTGATGATCTGATACATTGTCTTGTGATGGTGCTGGGATATTTTCACGGCCGAGAAGATCGTTTTTGTGAAGACTGCATGTTGTACAGCAGCATGAAAGAACATGGCCCAAGTGTTCATTTTGGTAAGAGGGCGCAAGTCGGGAGTATGAGGGCGCAGCATTATTTAGACAAACCTCTGCTTATATACAAAGATAGAAATAGTAACAGTCAAACTAAATTTCACAGTCCGATACAATTCCAAATGCAACTGGACGCTTGTTTCACTGAGACTATAGGTTAACATGACGACCTCGCGCAGCCACTGAGGTGGACAACACTTCCCTTATGTAGCTCATTTGTGTTTTCATGTCTGAAAGGCACGATGGCTAGTGAATAATGGGTCAGAAATATGTTTCATCTTCATTAAAACAGGGATTACACACAGCCCCGGCAGCTAAACCTTATAGGTCGCATCACAGTGACATGTCATTATATACCGTTGCTGCTCCGGAGGCATCCTGCCCTGAAAGCACGCAGACGCACAAACACAACTGCAGCAGTGTCGAGTCTCTGATTGGCAACACATAGGGTTAGCTAATTGTGCTTTTAGAGGAGGTGTATTATTCCTAAACTGTTTTTAATTGTTTCTAATTATTCCTTTATTATCTGTAATTGAAAAGCAACAAACAGCTGATTATTTGGCTTCATCAGTCGTCAGAAGAGCGGCGTGCACGTGTTTGGGATTACGCAGCAGAGCACAGTCGGTTCTTTATTGACAACTTCATCACCCTCACAAACTTTCTGCCACCTTTGACTTTTTCCAATCTTTTTAAGTAGAAAATGAGAATCGCTGATCTGAGATGCGATGCTCGCTGACATGGCTAACGTGACTCAAAAGCACACTTTGCACAGATGTTTTCTCTGGCTTTTAAATAAAAAGGGACAGTTCTATTTAGTGCTCGCAAAACCTGCTTTTCACGCCACACGGGGTCAAAGCAATATGTGCGGGGTTAATTTAATTTCAATGCGTCCATCCCGGCCGATCAATTGCATCATTTGAGGACGTTCTTCTGTCGCGAGGGGACTTTTATTACACTGAGCAGAATACTGACAGCAAAGAAAGAAAAATCTCTCTACTATCTTAATCCACATTTAAATGCCTATTTTATGTGCTCGGACCTTCAATACAAAAGCTCTTAAGTGCATTCTCAAATTCTGCCTTATCTCATCCAGGCAAGCAAGGAAATACAGACCTTATCCTGTTACAGAAGCTATTTGCTTTAACAGCTCAGGCCGGTCCATAATAAATAAGTGACTGTTGGCCAAGGAAATCTAATAGAAAACTATTACTGGGCCACCTCCACAGACGGACTGACCCCAAAGATATTATTACACCAAGGTGGTCCAGTCATCCACCATGTGAAGTGGCGGGACGGAATATAAAAATCGATATTTGGGAGTGGGCTAATTAGCAAAATGGGTGCCGTGTGCTATTATTAGGAATGATAATTGTTATCTTATGGTATCACATTTCCTAAAAGCTTTTGCTTCTTGCTTAAACGTACAAATTTAGCAGTAAGTGTTCATTCTGTGGGCTTGTACAAGTGACACCTTTCACATTACAGCACTGATATACTGAATATCAAACTATTATTTTAGGTTTCAGATTGGATTTGTTGCTTCAGGCTTAACGAAGAGAATTTTTTCAAGCTCAAAAGCTCCAGTTTGTGAGACACGTGTAACGCTTTTTTACTTAACATGAATTGAAAAGGAACTGGTGGTTAGCTGGAGCCTGTTAGTCATGGGTGAACTTATCTACGTCTAAGCCGAGACCTTGTTTGTTTGTCAGAATCGCAGCTCAGAAGGCACCGCCTAAGTGTATTGGCCTGGTGCTCCTCCTTAACTTCACTGCTTTCCCTGCGATGAATCACTGCTCATCACTCTCGGTCTGTCATTTTGTAGCAGTCGGTCACATTATAGCGGCCTGAGCCTCATTTTTCCTTTAGTGCCTTCGAGACTAACGTCGTTGTTTTCCTGCAAAACCCTCCAAAACAACTAAAAGCAAACAGACAGCGTCGTATTTTGGCTCGCTTCACTAATCACAGCCTCCATCTCTTTCAATCAGAGAAGGGGGTAAAAGTATTAACCGTGCTTCGCTTTTGTCTGCTAAAAAAACAGCTGTGCACCTATGAGCGCTAACTACCGCTCATTAAATATGTAATCACAATGAAGTGCAGCCTGAGCAACAATGGAGCGCAGCATCTGCAAAGACGATTGCTGCCTTTATGCATGTTGGACTGGGGTGGCCTATTCGTGTATGTCATGTGAGCAACTTGAAACAACATCATCTGTCAGTCCAAGGTGGCCGGCTCAGTCCTTACCTGGATCTTGATGGGCCACGAGAAGTTACTGACGTAGACGTAAAAAGTAATGTTGGGGTTGCTTCTGAAGGTGAACTTCTCGCAGGAGAAGCTGTCTCTGTACTCCTTGATGTTGGTTTTGGACACAATGGGCACCTCCTCTCCGGAGATGGTTCCAGCTGTTGGGGTAAAGAGTTCATGTTGAGCACACTGCCATTTGGCATTCAGAGAGCGCACCTACGTACAGACACGGAGCCGCAACGTGTTATTATGAACGCATTAATGGTTCTACCAAGCCATTTGGAGCAACAGGAAAGCTCTCAGGAGCCATGGTTATTATGTCTTAACAGCATTAAACTTCTTTTTTGGTGGACTGATAACAGAGTGGGGCTTTATTGCGTAATTACACACACCGACCGTATGTCATCGTTAAACGAACATGGGCGTGGGAGAAAATCACAAAACTGGGAATGTGATGACTGTAGGTATCACGTGAAGATCGCTTTAATCAAATTTCACCGCCATCGAATGCACGTAGCACGTCTGAGATTTAATATGCAGGAGCAGACGGCGCGAGGGCAAGTCTGTTCAGATAATCTGCCATCAATTATTAATAGTCGTTTGTATCTGTTTATGCTCAGTATTTGTGAGCGGGGTGTTATTATTTCTGGGTGAATACTACAACAGCCCCAAACTGGCAGTTAGTTCCAAAGCAGCATAATTGTTATATCAGACGACAAGATTTCAGAAGCAGATAATGGAATTTCCTTTTAATAAAACTCAATATAGGCAAAGGAGAAATGCATGTTCTTAATAACCACCATGAAATCCAAATTAACATATTTGGGACCTAATGTGCTTCTACGGGAGTCTATTTTTCCGTCCGTCTAAACGTTCCAAGTTATTTCTCATTCTTCCTCACGTCAGTGGCTCCTCAACATTGACATTCCAACCCACAGCTCTGAAACAAAAGCAGTGAAAATGACAGCTTCAGTGTGGCTACGTGAGCACGTTTATCTTAATTGAAATCACCCCCCTACCCCCACCTAAAGGCGCTTCATGCTCTCGTCGATTGTGAAGAGGCTCCCGTTCCTTCTGAGACACGGTATCTTTGCGAGGGGGAAAAGGGGACCCGACTTCAAATATTAATGACGGCGCCGCGAAAAGGTTAAGGTGGCGGAGAAGGAGCGCGGGAGGTTAACGTGTTTTTAGCGGCTAGAAAATGTCAGTGTTGTGGGGACGGAGAAAGTGGCAGATGACTTGAGAGGAGAAGGGAGGGCAGGAGATAAACAGTGGCACTGGACGACTGCAGTGTCCTTGGGTGTCTTTCCTCAGGGGACCTATAATATCCACTCAACAGTGACACAGTACACACTAACAAGAGAGGGTGCATTACTGTTCCTATTATGTCTCGTATACCGACTGACTGAAGGATTACCTTAATAACAATAATAATAATAAGAAAAAAAACAACACACACACACACACAAAGCAAATCTACATTAAAAACTCAATTTCTAAAGCCTCATCTAAGTGACAGTTGCAAATGTGTTGGGAATTAAATTGTATATTAACACCATCATTTTTTGTCATAACAAGCAATTTAAAAAAAAATAATGGATGAATGGAAATGACTAAACAAAGATCGGCAAACAAAAAAAAAAAAAATGCAATTTAGTTCCATTTGAATGACATATTTGTGGATGCGAGTGCATTAGGCATTTTTTTTGTGGCGCTGACATGAGAATAAATAAATAAAGAGATTGTATTTAATCAGCTTTAGTCTGTGTGGATGCGAGGAGGTGGAGCGTCCACTGCGTTGGTGACCTTCCAATGGGAAAAATATCAGAGCTTTTTGTTAACGAAATGTCTAAAACATCCAAATGTGACGTCACTCTTGAGACAATGTCCTCAATAGTATAATTCTGATAACTTTTGGCCACAATCCTGATAGCGTTTATCAGCGAAGCCAATGGTTAGGTGTGGAAAAAGATTTGGATTTACAACAGAATGAGGAGGGGAAACTCATTCGCCAGCTACTTAGTTTACAACTAAACCTGCTTTTATTTATTTTTCTATTCATGTTTTGGGCTTTTTCCTTTATTTAGAGCAGTTGAGAGAGACAGGAATGGGGGGAGAAGAATGGGGAGAGACCTGCAGCAAAAGGTCGTGAGCATGAGTCGAACTCAGCCCCTGTTCATGGGTCGCCTGCTCAGCTAGGTGAGCTATAGGGGCGCCGTAAACCTGCTTTTAAATGGATTGATTCACCCTAACATGACTTGAATCCATATACAGTCTCTCATCAGTGTTGTCTGCTGTCAAATAGAGAACCAAAACCGGACAAAAGCATTTCTAGAAAACCAAAAATAAAGAAGTACCTGTTGATCCCACCGACCACGTGATGTTGAGGTTGAAGTTGTTGGATGCATTGATGGACATGTCCAGGTTCTTGTTTGCCTTTAGACAAAGAACACAACATAAGATAAACACAGAATGCTGCATGTTACAGTAAACCACAAAAGCAATCGTAGAGGTTATAAAATCGAACCATTTTTGGGGCAGTTTGCGAGTGTAGCTTTCTAATGATCAGAATGAATCACCCGTCAGCGATCATCATCGTTAAATGTAACAGTCCATGACTTGAGATTTGATAGAGTGCTGCGCTCATGTCACCTCTATAAATGTAAGTGATTTAAGGCGTCGCTGCCCCCGTCGCCTGAGCGAGAACTGTTCTCGAAGAAGTTACCTGCTCGGGAGAAGCCATGAAGTTTATGGCAGTGTAGTGATTATCGTCTTCTTGGATGAGACTGAAGGTGAACTGGTAGTCAATCAGGAGATTATCTGTTTAGAAAATCAGACAAGGAAGAAAGAAAAGAAAGAAATGTCATATCTGTTCCCGTGCACAGGTGTCAGCTTTTTGAATACAGTCTGAGCTGCCAGTTGTGACTTCCAGAGACTACTACGAGAGCATCTGAAGAAAAAGCCAATTTGCAATCAGGCTGGACAACTTTCTAATCAAGCACAGGACAAATAGAATTAGCAGACCCTGACAGCAAATATTCCTCCACGGTGATTAATGAAGTCTTCCATTATTAATGAATTGTCACGTGTGAATTCAACACTGCGGCTAAATTGTGCCAAATTTCACACGCAGCTATCTAGAGCGCATCCATAAATCAAACTTCAACGAGTATAAAGCATTAATACATATATACTAAATGTAGATTTGCATTTTTGACTGGATGTTTATTTGCGATGACTGAAACGGTAGGTGATTGAATATTCAGGAGACATTTTCTGGCATGGAAAATTACAATAATAATAAAAACAGTATCATTTGTTAGCCTGACTTGTTTGTACATATCCCCATGTGTGCATTAACCCTCTGAACCTCTAAACCAACAGCCCAGATTGACTGAATGTTTTGTTTTTGAAATCCCCAGAAATACAACATTTACCAGGCAAGAAACCACAAAAAACAGGACAAATTGTCAGATTTTCAACTAAGCTAAGCTAAACTAATAATGTGCGATTTTATTCAACATGACTCTTTAAAAAAAAAATTGCCAAAAATAAATCTTCAGCATCAATCATATTCAGTAAAACAAAAAGAAAAAGTGTGCTTCTCTAACTCTAACCCTAAACCCTAATCCTTTTTCTTGAATGGGGTCAAATTGGCCCCAAAGATAATCGGAGGGTTAAGAAAAGTTTTTCATGTTTAATGTGTTCCTGAACTGGTGCAAGTGTCCAATGCAAAAGTAAAGCAAGTCAAATACTCTCACATCTAGTCTGTACTGCTGCCAACATTGAAATTTCACCTCATTTTTTAACTCCACATTAACTTCTGAATGCCAATACTTCTGCAACTTATGTTTAAGCCCACTTTCTGCTACAGATTTAGTGCTTAAGCAGAGTTTGAGGGGAGAACAGCCTGTGTTCGCTCTGAGAAGCCATGTTTAACTCATGAGTCACATGACAACAACTCAGGAAGTATTTCAAATGACTCTGCAGGCTGCGTTTAGGGAGAGCAAATAGGAGACGAGTGTGGAAACAAATCAAAAAGGTAAGCAGTAAAATATCTACAGTATGTAGCACCACCTGTGGGAGTTTGGAAACAATTCTATTTATGTTCATTCCAGTTTTTTTATTTAATTTTTTCTTATTTTTTCAAGATCTAGCCATTGTTGTGCAGTTTCCATAGATGTGTTGGATAAAGATATTGCTATGAAAAATGGGAACACAGTGAGTCTAAGAAACTGCCTGTGGTTTAAAGGGTTAAAATGATTTCTTTTGGTTAAATTGGACGTATATAACTTTGCACGGGGATGTGGAGTTCCATAGTACAACAGTAGGTCCTTATTTGAACTTCTTTCTTTACCTTTCTGCACTAAAAACGAGCGCACACGAACAAACGGTTAAAAATGCATCAGCTATATGTGATTATTCAGCCTCTAAATCAACCCGCTTGAGCTGTGACAGTTCTCTGTTTCACGTCACTTATGTTTGCATGTGACAGTCAAACGCTATTAGTGTCACAGCTTGAGAGATAATAGAAGTAAGATCATAATTACCAGTTACCGTGAGAAATCGCCTAATACGCTGTAATGTAGCCGGATAATGTCGCCATTAGCGCACCGTGTTAATCTATAGTGAATGGCCTTTTAGATGGTGAGTAGTGTTGTGTTTACAATGCTGAAGCTCAAGAACAAGTCCCGGTGGTGTCCAGAGGTTAAAACAAGCTTCGGGCTTTTAGTTTCCCGTCTTCCCCTCATTGAGCCTGTTGTCAGGCTATGGCATTTCAAAAGGGACAAAACCTTGGCAAAGGCTCTGTTGTCAGTAGCAGAGTGCTGAAAGGCAGATAACAAATCACTAAGTACTGCAGCACCGTGAAGGACACCACATCATGCAAATAAACACACAGAGCACAAACACCAGCATGTACAGTACACACAGCAGCGGCAGCAGCAGCAGCAGCAGAGGCACTGGATGTCAGCTTTATGTTATTTCTTTTCACGGTGCTGCTTTTTTTTTTTTTTTGCATCACACGCCTTGATAGATTTTTCCTTTTTACTTTACAAGTCAAACTATCATTTAGTCGACTTTTTAAATGAATAAATGAGTAGGTGCGTGATTGAGTGAGTAGACAAGTGGAGAATTTATACTCCTCCGTCTCCTTGATTAGCTCAATCACTCACTCCCTCTGATGCACTTGACATTTTCACGACAAGTCATTCTGTCACCGAACAAGCGCCCCTGGTGCCAAAGTGCTAAAATGCTCCATCTGCCCAGAGCGGAAGAGTGGAAGTGGAGAAGTGGAGAGAGAGGGAGAGAGAGAGAGAGAAAGAAAAGCAGAGAGAGAATAGCCAAGAATAATCAAGGAGGTGTGTGTGTGTGTGTGTGTGTGTGTGTGTGTGTGTGTGTGTGTGTGTGTGCATATGGGCTGTCTCTCCAGCAAGTAGCTGTCCAGTGGAGAATTACTCACAGTAACAGGTTCCTCTGAGTGGATTGCCAAGGTAACGGTTTTCTGAGTCACATCTGCAGTGAAGAAAACAGAGAGGAGTGAACAAGATGAAGAAGAGTGCTAACAGATTGAGAGCAAGAATGCCTCTTATCAGGAGCAGTGTATGCCAAGTGCCAGCGCATTAGCTCCTGCTGTTGGCGCCTCATCAAGTTTGGTACTTCTGACAAAGAGGAAATAATCTGATAGTTTGTAAAAAAGTTAATTAGATTTTTTTTTTTTTTTTTTAACCCCAAAACTTTTTTTTGTTTATCAAAGCGACACACTGACATGCGATGATTCCACCTGATGGCAGAGCGCGGCACCTAAAAGTAATGTACGAAGTTTAATCCCTGAAAATCCTTGAAGCAAACAACACGATTTATGTAAATGGATTCTTACTTGATTATTTGAGATATATAATCCTAACCCGAGAAGTGAAAGCCACATCAAGACTAACCGCCGATCAAGGTGAATCCTTTTTGAGGAATTAATCAGATAAGACAGTAAACAATCAAGTTTCTGAGACAGCCAGTGAGTGGGGAATTCTGGGAAGCCCAAGACAAGTCTAACTCTGCTCAACACTTGTGATTGTTTTTAGGATTTGATCATCAGAGCTGCGTCCAGGAGTTTTAATTTCCCCCCTCAACTCATAGCGGTGTTAAATCTGTGTTTTTAGATTCAAGTGTTTGAAACGACGGACTGAAAATCACATTTATTTGGAAAGCCGTAGGAGGCATGCATTGTCTCTCTCAATATTTGCTGTTTTTATTCCAAAACAGAAGTCGTGAGCACAAATTTGGAACGAGCCGCAGAGCCACAACAGAAGGGTTGAAATAAACAGGATCTGTTCTTTAAAGGTGCAACGTGTGAGATTCTAAACAGGAATATCACATTAAAATAGCAGAAAACAACAACGTACATATACAGTACAAGCTGTATATTAGTGATGCACATGAGTCCCTCACATTGAAACCTTTGGCCGTCTCTGTGATTACAAACAGACTGAGAGGGACCTCACACACCATGTTGTAAAAGGGCGGCTGTGGCTCAAGTAGTACAGCAGGTTGTCCTCCAATCGCAAGTTCCATCCCCCATCCCTCCCCTCCACAGTTGAAGTGTCCTTGGGCAAGACACTGAACCCAAAGTTGCTCCCAATGGCAGGCAGCACCTTGTATGGCAGCTCTGTCACCATTGGTGTATGAATGTGTGTGTGAATGGGTGAATGAGGAACACATTGTAAAGCATTTTGGATAAAAGCGCTTTATAAGTGCAGACCATTTACAAGCAAAAGAACAGGACGGATTTAGCCAGGGACCACAACAAACACCTATCTTGTTAAAGTTTTTCAGTAGGAATGTTAGGAGACGATGTCAAAGGTCGTGATTGATACTGATGAAAGCATTATGCATCAACACAACGCCCACGCTTTGTTTATGTCTGTTTATGTCCACAGGTGTCGTAAAGAGAGAGCACAATTTGTGGATGGATGCCAGGAATGCAAATTCTGAATACTGTTCTTAATAAACGCAGCATGATCAATGAATAGTTGATAACACAAATTGAGCACAGTGGACATTTGTTCTGTGCTGATGTTGATGTTTTAAATGGTAAAAATAGTAAATGGTCTGCACTTATGTAGTGCTTTTCTACCAAAGTGCTTTACAATGTGTTTCTCATTCATCCATTCACACACACATTCATACACCAATGGTGACAGAGCTGCCATGCAAGCTGCTGCCTGCCATTGGGAGCAACTTCAGGTTCAGTGTCTTGCCCAAGGACACTTCAACTGTGGAGGGGCGGGGGATCGAACCACCAACCTAACGATCAGAGGACAACCGCTCTACCACCTGAGCCACAGTTTTAGTCCACAGACACATGATATGGGTGCCAATGGTGACGCCTACATAGGCCACTCTGTTATAGAAGCACTGTTCTACTCCATCCTGGCTTGTCTCCAACACGAGCTGAAGATCATTAAGAGTCACAAAGGACTCTGTCATGGTGACCCTTTCCTAGCCAAACTCCTGCAAAGTTTTCTGCCCGTCAACAAAGAACTGCCTGTAGTCCTCTGTTCGCTATAGGACAACAGGAAAAGGTTCCCCTGGTGACACAACCAGGTGCTACAGCTAATCTACAACACTGTGTGTTATCTAGGAAAATGGCATCAGATGGGACTTTCAGATATGAAGCAATACATGACTCGGATAAAAAAAATAATTGATCGGCACATCCCTATTATTAACCTAATGTATGTGTGCTCAGCCCTGCTCATGTGAGAGTCTCTGATGCTGTGTCGCCCTCTGCTTCTCCTTCACAGCGACAGGTCAAATGAAGATAAACAAGTTGACAACAACTCATCAATTCAATGTATTATCCAATGCTAGTGTGGGCTCATGATGTTGATCATATATGTGTACGCAACCTTTCAGCTGATTTGAGATGCTAGGGTTCAAGCAACGGTTGTTCTACACGTCACACACAGAACCTTTAAGACACTGTCCTGCACGGTTGGCTTGATACATCTGTGAACTAAACAGCCTTTCATGAATTATTCCTGTGCGTTTGTTGAGCCAAAGAATGAGCATAGGTTTACTCGGTCTTGTGAGGTCATATAGTTTGCTCAAACCACTGCTGTTTAAAAGTTAACGCAGTTTTCAAAACAACAGCAGCAATATTGTGGCATCAGCCAAAATAGTCTGTCTTTTAAATGAAGTGCTGCCAAGCAAAATGATTTGTTAACATCCACAGAGTGCCATCAACTGCTCCGAGAGTATGTGTCTGCTTGAGTGTCTTTTATCAGGCTCATGGCTTTCCAAAGGCCTGTAATGAGGAGGAACATATGGCAGTGTTCATTGGTGTGCACTGCTCTTTATCTCGCTTTTAATGCATCTCTCCACTCTGTCGCTCAATTTATTTATTTTTTTTTATGCACTTAACTGTCTACAACTCGCTCCGAACCGCTCCGACATCGCTCGTCAGGTATTTACCTGATAAACAAGGCGAGCAATACCGCACGCACTCGAACAGCACAAATAACAGGAAAAAATGTCAAAGCAATTTAAACATTAGATATGTATTATCGCATTGTGCTTCATAGTTGTTTTGTCTTACAGGCAACCAATTAAACTTGTTAGAATGTGAATATTAGAGGAGTCAGAGAGGCAGCGAACGAAAGGAGGGAACGGAGGAGAGGAGCAAGCCGACTGAGAGACACGAACGCTGCCGAGGAGGAGGAGGAGGAGGAGGAGGAGGTGGCTGTTAGTGATGTTACACTGAATGAGCATGACTCTGCCTCTAAAAATAGTCCAGCATTGGTTGTTTTGCAGCATTTTGGATTCGCAAGACAGACGGTATCGCCGTTGACGGTACTACGCGAAAAAAAAAAAAAAAGAAATGTCAGTCAGATGATGGTGGAGGCAACACATCTGACGTCTTTCAACACCTTAAATATCACCAGGGAGGAATACCGTCAGAATGGAAAACAACGTAAGAAAGAAAATTTGTTAAACTGTGACCTCGGGGTGTGTTTTATTAATTAAAGAACGTCTTTGATTTGACGACAGCTCTAATGCTCATCGTCACGTCTCATGTCACCAACAGCTGTTTTGCTGCCGACTTCGCCCAGACGCTGAGGAGGGCGTTGGAGCCGAAAGCATATTGAGTGACCTGATTGAGATGGATTTTAAGTTTATATCAAATGAAGAACAAGGATCAGTGCGCTGAGCTGATCTAATGGGGGCAGGACACTCAGTCGGTTAGAGGAGCCAGCTCGGCCGCTGTTCGCTGTTAATGTTAAACAGGCAAGGACAGGGTAGAGTGCTCTTTTACCACGCTACAAAGGACAGAGGACAAATGCCGCCGGAGGCTTTTGAACCTTACAGAACATCACTCCCGGGGCATTTCGGCTGCCTGGCATTTGCAGAAGGCAAAACGCACACGTACTCATTGGTATAATGCAGCTCCTCTACACTGTATCTTAATTTAATCTACACCTGCATGCATCCGTGCACTCATCTGAACTTCAGGCAATCCCCCTGCACTGTATCTTAATTTGATCTACACCCAGCTTGAACCTTTGTCTGTGTTTGTGCACACTCTGTGATTTAACAGACGACACACACACACACACACCGGCGGAGAAGAAATGTGCTGTGAACCTACACAATGTCTTTCACACAGACGCAGGCACAGCAGCTACCCCCGTTACCCCCAGCACGAGAGGCATCCGCAATAATGTATGCTTGGAAACGAGCGCTGTAATAAGAAATATTTCCCCTCACTCCTCTTTGTTTTTTTTTTTTTGACTCATCGCTGTAACCCAATGCAGACCTCATCAATTGTTTTCAAAAACAATTCTATTCTGCACCGGTGCACCCTTCACTTCATTAGTGCAGCCATTATTTGGAGGTCCTAATGGCGTCGGTGGTTGCGGTGCATGCATGTGTGACGGAGTGCATGTGTGTGTGCTTTTGTGTACATTGCAGAAAAGACCCGAGTACCCTTGTGTAGAGGTCTTTGTTGAAGGGGTTACTGCTGGGGATGCTGCGAGTGAGTGGCAGGGAGACAGTGATTACAAGTAATGAGAACCAGAAATGATATTACGAAGATGGAACAGCAAACGCCACACCCACAATGCTACTAATTAGATTACAATGACCGATTACTTGATTACACCAACATGTATGAATGGGAGAATGCATTTTGAGTTTAGCACACGCTGGACACATTGTGTAAATGGCGCTGAATTAACAACATATTCTCGAGGTTCATGTTGCTGGATAAATTTGAAGCTGATAACCGCTAATGGGATTGCAGGAACTTTCCCAAAGCTGGTTCCAGAGCCGTACGAGCACTTCCTCTCTCTAAACGGCCGACGACGGTTGGCCCGATACCTCGGTCTGATTCTGTACGGTAGAAAATGAGGTTGTTGGTATCAGCTGTTAGCCAGCTGCCATCCCACTGTTGCTCTTCACTGTGCCGCGCTGCGTTCCATCTGGTAGCAGAAACCAGTGTGACATTTAGTCAATGGTGCAAAGTGTCATTGTCAAAGTTGACAGAAAGCATTGAGGGTTTGCAGAGGTCTCACTCTCCCGCAGCCTGTCTGCCTTCCCTTTCCTTTTTATTCTTCCTCTCTATCTTTCCCTTTCATTCCCATCACATTCATGTCTTCTTTGGCTCAGTGTTATTCTTGGGCTTTGACGTTACTTTTCTTTTATTCATTGTAAGGTTTTCGACCACCAGTGGTGCTATGTAGTGAAGGTATACCGAGCCGGATCCTAAGATTGGGCTCGATTGTTTTGGCACAAACCATTCTTTGTTTACATCTGCCAAAACATGGACAAAAAAAAGCTTTGAAAACAGTATCACTGCTGTGTAAGACCACTGACCTAGTTTATCCCACTTAATTAAACACTGGTTAAAGGTCATTAAACCTCAAAGAAGTCTTTAGCCAATCTACATAATGTCACTATTATCTAGGAAAATAGTGGCGGATACTAAATATCCAACCCACTGAATCGGATTGGATGCAAAAAAACAACCCTTAAACGGGACCTCCCTACTACATTGTGATGGTTTTACAAGAAGGGCTGCAGATGTGTCCAAGGAAGTACACTAGCGAGTACACAAGGATGTAAATGATCGACTATTTCAAATCATTTTTAAACAACACGGGCTGCAAGGTTGTTTTGATCAGTATGGATACAACAATTATGTATCAGGATTTTTTATTGATTCATGGGATGACACTTTTATTGCATCTTTCACATGTAAATGGATGCTGCTTTCACTAATGGACAAATCTTTGCATCAAAACAGGATAAGTCCTTTAATCATCTCCTGGGGGTAAAATATAAATAAAATGTGACCGACGTTTTCCCTAAAATAAATCAACTTCACATGGTTTTCACTTTTACAACGTGTGATGCGCTGACCCACTGCGTCGCTTTAATTGAAATCTGACCCTGGCCGAGAACCAGGAATCAGCGAGGTACCGACGTTATCCTTGGCCTTTATGTATACATTGTGCTGCGGTTCGTGGTGGTTTCCATGTGGCTGAACAAGTAAGCTGTGTTGCTTTTGTGGCAGCGACAAGAGCGTAATGCACTCTTTGCACGTAATTTGTTCCATCTCGCCATCACTTGGACTAACTTCACACAACACCACTTTGACAACCTATTTCGAGGGACTCGCTGTTCACCTTCTGCTCCAGACATTTAACTTCAGTTTTACCTGTCTGTTCCCTGCTGTACATTACTCCTCCACACTGGACTGCAGCCACATGGAATTTCTTTTGCACAAGGTGCTGCTGCAGCGGCACCTCAAGGGCAAACCCGAAACACCTTGATCCCTCCCTTAATGCCTGGCTGTCAGTTTACTTGATTTGATACGCAGCCGCATTTTGTATGAGTACAAATGCCAATATCAGAGCCAAAATTGTTTGATGAGTTAACAAGAAATGCATTTAACACATTTGTTAGACACTGCTGGTGAGTACAAGTGGATGTAAACAAAGCTTTAAGACTGTCACGACTCCTGGATGTTACTTTTGCCGGCCAAAGTCTTGTCACTGCATGCAGCAAGAAGACGTGTCGACTGAATCAGTCGTATGACGTGACTAAAATCTGACTAAAGCTAATATGATATTTAGTCAGAAGGATTCTAATTAGTTTCAATATGGTGTGAAATGTGTGATGATGAAATGTGTAACCGAACAGATAAAAAAAACCTGATTAGGGAGAGGAGAAAAAGTGATTTTGATCTATTTTAGAGAGCTTTTGGTGAGGGTGTATGCCAGTGACCCCTCCATTAGGGGAATTAAAAACACGAGTGTCCGTTCTGCTTACAACTGGGAAAGCTGGCAGCTAAGATGAGATGGTCCTCCTACACTGGTGGATTCCACCGTGTCAGCAGAAGCGGTCCTGGAGGTGGAGGTTTTTAGCCGATAATGTCACCGGACGCTTCCCTGTTCCTACAAATCAGCAGCATCAGCACGCAGGCCTTCACATGAGGAGAGGCAGGGCTGCTCTAGGTGGTCAGAAATCAGCGCTCGTAACCACGTCAGGACGTTTCTGAATCACTCCAGTGCATTAATCATATCATGATGAATCGCATTATATGATTTAAAAAAGGCTTGCTTGAAGTGAGACTATGCCATTACTCAAATTCAGATCAACTTAATTTGCATTTAATGTGTATATACTTACTTTTTAGTGTCTTTCTGATTTATCTGTGACAGCACTTAAGGAGCAGCTGAGTGAGCTCTTATTACATGACAGATAAATGCATGCACGGATCCACTTGAGAGAAAAAAAATTCCAATATGTTCAGAATGTAAATGATGTGTTTCGTAAAAGTTCCTGGAGTGTTAACCACCACTTATGTCATATTAACCCTCTGAACCCCAAAATCTGACAGTGGTTTCTAAAGGCACATTTTTGTTTTTTTGTTGTTTTTTTTTTTCTCTAAATCACTAAAATTACACCATTTATCACGGTAAGAGGGCTGCAAGGTGGCTTGGTGGTTAGCACCGTCGCCTCGGTTTGCAACCCGGGATCTTTCTGCGTGAAGTTTGCATGTTCTCGCCGTGCAGCGTGGGTTCTCTCCGGGTTCTCCAGCTTCCTCCCACACAGTCCAAAAACATGCTGAGGTTAATTGGTGGTTCTAAATTGTCCATAGGTGTGAATGTGAGTGTGCTTGGTTGTCTGTCTCTAAGTGTAACCCTGTGATAGACTGGCGACCTGTCCAGGGTGTCCTCTGCCTTCACCCTGAGTCCACTGGGATAGACTCCAGCCCCCCATGACCCGAGTGAGGATTAAGCAGAGTATAGATAATGGATGGATGGATCATGGTAGGAAACCATCTTTGAATTTTCAACTTTACGACAGTCCTTGGTTCATTAGTGACTTGCAGTTTTAAGCTACATATCTTGATATTTCATTAAAACCAGTTGATTCTACATGTCTCATTTTAAAATGTGCCAAAAATAAAACGTTTGCGAGAAAAAATAAAATATAAAAAAAGTCCTTGTGGCAATGAAGAAGCCATCAGTGACTAACATGAAATCAAAACTGAAATCTTATGTATGTAGAGCCACCGTTTTTCTTCTAATATTGGTAATACCATTTCAGGTTTTCAGGTTTATAATCCAAGTATTAAAGGCTGTACTGTTTCCATAGAGCTGCATGACTCTTTATATTAGTGACAATGAGCCCACAGTGAGTAACAATGTGACAGGTGCAAGAAATGACCAGAAACTGCTGAGAGTTCAGGCGGTTAAATCACTTCCTAATTTATATTAACCCTCCTTAAAATCTGTTTTGAACTATTTTAACAGAATCTCTATTTGTGTCCGTAAAGACAGATCATAAACATGCTGGAATCACAGAGCCAACATTCAGGTTTTTTAAGGCAAAACATCTCAAACAGCACAGAACACCTTCCTCCATGTAGCTGTCACACTCGTCAAAATGAGTCTCCCTTAAAGCAGCCTAAAGCATTTCATCGGGGCTGCATCCCAAGTGATTACTGACCCGGTGACAAGCTGCCCAGAGACTCACTTCTGTCTGATGCTACCTTCAGTCAGTGAAATCCAGTTGGAACTTCGTCTGTACGTCTCTCATGTGACCTTTCTTTTGCAGATGTGAACTTTTGTGGGAAGGCACAAGCGGATGCTGATGTGACAATTAGCAAAAAAAAAAAAAAAGAAAGTACTTTGTATTTTTGGTTCAGGGGCAGTATTTGGGAGTCAACAGCTCCCAGTAAATTATTGGACTGAAAATAGGCAACGTTTCAACTCTGCCAGGTCTTGATCAGGCAAAAAGCCAAGCGGGAGGTCAGTGAGCAGACGCTACTTTTTGTTTTTTTTTTCTCCTTTCACTGAAACTGCATTGTGATGTTCAGAGACAGAAGCAACACCATTCATTTTAGTTTTCCAGGATTTAGATTATAAGGTTATAAAATGACAAGACGGCACTGTGCTTGTGTTTTCTTGAGGTGTGTGTGTGTGTGGGAGCATGTGGCCGGTGTACTCACAGCTGGCACTGGTCTCCTTTGATCCCCTTGGTGGTGCAGAAGCACTTGCCAGTTAACACCTGGCACACACTTGCATGGCCATTACACTTACAGGCTGGAACAGGCAATAAACACAGATGGAAAAGACGGTTGAGGAGGGGGGAGAGTGGAACAGAAAGGGAGAACACAGGGAGAAAAATCATCATCGATTAGTGTGACACATAAGCAAAAACTTCGCTGACATTTTTGACTGATCAGTAATCCACTTTCAACCTCGGTTTAAACATTTGAGTTCTCCTCAGGGCGCCTTCAAGTTCCCACAATCTGTGCCACAGCAATTGTTTCCCCCCCACACTTTTAAGGACTCGACCAGCAGTTGTCCATCGCTCGCGGCGTTTGTGCTAAGCTAGGCTACAAACATGCCTTCTGCTATACTGAACGACACAAGAGGGGAAATTGATATCGATCTGGGTGAGACGGTAAACAACAGTGTTTCCCAAAAGATTGGGTGAAGTGATACATGAAGGAGAAGTGCACCCGAGCCCCAGACGGGAGGCAATGACATCCTTCCCAAAGTGCTAAACCTCCCTCTTAGCACGCTCTCCCACACTGTACATATGAATATTTTAGGGCGACTGGAATACTTCTCCCACACTTCTTGTTATTGACAGCTGGTGATAACAGGGATTTAATTTTAATATGTGCAAATCACACTAGATGGGAGGGTTATTTTTTTCTTAAAAATGCCCACTGTGCGTAAAACACACACTGAATATGCAGTGGATCCCACTCACTTCAAATTAAAGCATTGGATGTATTCGCGATGTAATGACACATAATGATTTTTGCCCCCCGGGCTCTGAAAGAATGAGGGGGAATATTCACAGATTGTCACCTGTGTAGTTTCACTTTACAGGTTGCAGCCGAAGCCGGTGCCGTAACAGATGTTATCCGAGACCTTAACGCTCCCGTGTGCGTTTGTGTGACTCCAGTGTCCGGCAATTCAAACAAAAGCCTGCATGTCATTTCTCAGGAATGCTGTTTCAAAACTGCAGGTAAATGGAGGAACCTGCACCACCAGTCTTCAATCAGCCTGCATTTCGTTTACCAGAGAAGACACCTCCAGACAGTTATCAGATACTAATAGTCATTATATATTTGATTTAATGCTCGTTCCTGTGCTGTGTTTGCACCCGTCATGCGCATTAAACTGAGCAGACATTGGGTGCGTTTGCTTTGAAAACAGGAGTCCTGTATAAATTATGGGTTGCAGTCACTCAAGGAAATTTATTCTGCAGCGGGCAGGAGAATGAGATAATAAATCTGCTTCATGCGCTATTCAAAAACTCTATCAAAACAGTTTTATATGAGCGGGAGGGGGGGGAAGGGGAATGAACACCACACCTAGTACATTAGAAAAACAATCAGAGCTGCAGCTGTTAAAATGTGTATTAAGTTGCCTTTTAAACAACCCCTGGCTCTGTATACCTGGCAGTGTGTAAATCCCTTAATACCAAACCAACGTATGTGTGTGTTTTTTCTTACAAAACATCGGTAGCACCAGATGACTGACCTTCAGCTTCACCTGCAGCTCCCACATACGCTCACTTTGACATTTCGCTGCCTGACCAGACACCTACCAGAGATTATGGTTGTTTTTCTGTTAACGCCACCATATGCCATCGATCAAACAATTTGTCCCAACATCAGCTCAATGCACAACAGCGCCCTCTGTCGCTTGGACGCTGCATCACGACATATTCATCACGCGGTAATTACAATAAGTATTTTTCTGAATGCCTAATTATCATTTATAAACTGCAGGAAAAGTCCAGAAACACACACACAAAAAAAGGTTGTTCAAACTTAATAACGCTGATCTGTTGTAGTGAAAGGAAACGCACACAGATGATGAGCACAAGGTTACGGGGGTCGGGGTGAAACGACATCAGTTGACTGCTCCACCAAAACAATAACAAGTAAATCCATTAGGTGCTATGCGTGCAGAATAACTAATGTCTGGAGCGATGCGGCACTCACCCTGGCATTTGCCACCATTGGTCGGGTCTCCATGGTAACCGGGCATGCAGGTCTCGCAGTGGGGACCGGTGGTGAGGTTACGGCACTGCTCGCACACGCTGCCGTTCACACACGTGCTGTGGCCGTTGCACTGGCACGCTTGGAGAAAAAAAAAAGAAATAGAAAGGTTGTGGATTAATGCAACTTTGATCTTCGGCAGCAGAACTTTCCGAGTCGAGCGAGTCGTGGCTTAATGTTTTGAGACGGGCCAGATGATTCCATGCTAACACGATTCCCCATTTGTTTGCGAGTCACATCGGCACCTGTGAGTGATTTTACACCTACAGTCGTTGTTTCTTGTGTCTGCCATGTCACATTAATTATTATTTAATTAGACCTGCCTTTGAAAATAGTGACACTGCCTACAGCTTTTAATTAACCTGAATTAAATCTCTAAATACAAAGGTGCAAATCAACTTTGGATGGATTCTTTTTTGGAGCAAATTGGAGCACGCCTTCGAGGTTAAAGATGCATCTTGGCCGCAGCCTTTTGCTTTCTTGTGAAGCCGTGCATCAATATGACATCACAGATTATAGGACAGTTTAAAAAAATGACTTCAGATCTAATAATTAAACAGAATACTACCAAAGTGACTCATAGACTTAATAAATTATAAGAATCCCACAAAAGTCTGATTAAGATTCTTACACGTAATCAGCTCCGATGAGCCACATTCTTAAATTACTACTAGCAGTGATTATCATTTTACATAATGTGGTCATACGCACTGGGGCTTGATGAAAAATTAAATGGCATACTAGCGTAAGGTTGCACGGAGTCAGCAGGGAGGGATTAGTTGCATAGAGAAGCTGTAACAGGAGTCCGTGATAAGACCCTCTATTCAAACTTAAGACATGACAGTCAATAGGTAATAACAGCCTCCGACATGGATACGCCGATGACACGTGAGCTGTAACTTCAGTAAGACCGGGACCGGAAGGATGCTGATTACTCACCAGGGCAGTGAATGAAGGCCCACTCGTAGCCCTTGTCTTTGGGGCAGCTGCCGGGCTCTAAGCTCATGTCATGGGACTGGCCCTGCTGGCCCTGCTGGCCCTGCTTCACCAGCCTCTTCATTGGCCCCCGATATGAACCTTCCATGCACAGGCCCTTCCCTGTACAGCTGGGATCTCCACACCAGCCGCACTCGGGTTGCTCCAAGCATTGGGAACATGTCCGCAGGCCTGAACAGTTCTGGGCTGAAAAAGAGGGAAGAAAAAAAAAAATAGTGTGAGAAACTTTCTTTCTTTTTTTACTCTTATGCTGGAAAGTTTTGCACTGCCACCACACTTCTTGCTTCCCTTCCAAAAGAGTTTGTATTTCTTCATCAGCCATCGCTTGTCCGTTTCTTTCTCTATTTATTTAGCAGAGCAGTCACCTTGACACCAGCGCAAGTGAAAGAAAATTCAAAAAAACAAGCAAAGGCAAACAAAATCCTGAAGGATGTCAGGATTTTAGACTTCATCCTTTTTAACAAACGACTTAATTCATTTCTCCGGCTTTGCGGGAGCCGCAGATTACGGAGCGTTAATGTGTTTTACACTAAAACACAGGCTGGTTATCTGGCGAGGTGTCAGGCCGGCAGGATGGAAAGCAGATAAGAGGATAAGGAACAAGTGTCGAGCATTAAACAGTTGATGGAGGCGGCGGGGGGGTGTGTGCAGAACGAGAAGACGTCAGAAAAGCGAGGCTAGCGAAAAGTTTGTGATCCGAGCAAAAGTTCCACAAAAAAGGCTTTTGCCAAGTGACACCTCGTCCTAGACTCAGAAAAGCCACGAGAAGCGAATTGTCAGTTTGGGAGACGAACTTTCAGGCCACTAAATTGCTTGACAAGTTTCAGCGCCACCACTTGTCTGCCAGACGGACACTTTAGTGGAGAAAATGCCACTACTATTTTAAGGAGACAAACATTGAGTGCTTTTACCTCAGTTTATGTCAAACAAATCTCCAGCTATTCTGCTAATGGATGTGAAACCATGACAACACAAGAGCAATCACTACAGAGTAAGGCCATTTAAGTTTGTTTTGACGACAGGACGTAAGTGGCGAATTTCTAAGGAACATGCCCTTCTGAGAAAAGAAGCAGCTGGATGAGGACTTTTGTCTTGCCACAACACAAAAGCATGTTGAAAATTCAAAAATCCGCCATAAAAACAAAAATCCACATCTCGGATTTTGACGGATGAATCAATGTGAGCGAGCGGCTGAATGTGACGCCCGGAGGTGTTACATAAATTGGATGGCGATCACGTCTGTACAGAAAAACAAGTCTGGCGTCTTCCGGAGTTGCCAGTTTTTTTCATCAGTTGAGCAAATATAACCTCTGTTCTTTGCCCAGGTTCTCTTAACAAAATTGAATTCATTTATGCGAGCTTTCAAGTGAGTTTTAAAAATGGAAATGAGTTTAACTTCAAATATGTTTGCAATTTCACATTCGATCACGAGTTACATCAAAATGCGGCTTCTGAGGTCAAAGTCGAGGAGATCAGGATCAGTTTACTGTGCATTCATTTTGCTGTTTAAAGCCTCCTGCGGTTGCATTTACTTAAATCTGTATCTGCTTGTTCCACAGCTTCCAGAGATTACTGATCAAAACGACAGCCTCACCACTTCAAAATCTGGTTTTGCATATCTGAGAGGAGCAGTGTGACGGGAATCAGATAGCTTTGTGTCCTAATGTGGCTTCTAGTGCTTCGACAATCGACTTACGACAAATGTTAGCTTTAATCAGCAAGTGTGTGTTCTAACCTAACAGCTCGAATTAACTTACAAAAATCTTTCTGTAGTGTTTCTGTTTTTGTGTCCGGTTAAATTAAAAGTACACCATATTATAGAACAACTATTTTCTTGAGGTGCAACAGATCGCCGGTATGTTTTCAGTGCCTGCAGGATTACACAAAAACTACAAGGCCAGATTTCATGAAACTTGGTGGAGAGGTGGAGCATGGCCGAAGGAAAAACTCATAAAATTTTGGTGTGGATGCAGTTTACTGTTTTGTATTTTTTGAATAGCGAGGTAGGGCTTTGGCCTTGGCTTGCCTTGCTATTTCAAAATACGATGGTTAAATATTGTAATTAATCAAAGCTGGATCCACATGAATCAACGATGGTCTGTTTCACCACTTCTATTCTCTGAAAACGTCTAAAGTTACAAAACATCCTCAAACACAACAAATTAAATATTAACAAGAGGCCGCCTACATTTTTAACACAAAGCTCGGGGTGCAGCTCGCAAACACCTGATTACTTTCTCAATCAATTCAGTGTATTTTTCAAATAAACTGTGAAAAACTTCCCGTCCAAAACCCAGAAATTAACTCTGCTGTAATAAATGACACAAACAGAAATGAATCCTCACACGTGAAACCTGTGAGCCTGTGAAAGGTTTCTCGCTTGAAAAATAACTGATGCAAATAAGAATAGTTGTTACAGGTGACTAATAGCTTAAGCTCATACCGCCTACTGTAAACTACCTGAAGAAAGCGGAGCGGGCGTAGGGAGCGCACAGGCCTGACCTATTATTAAAGACCGAATCAAAGACCGAGGAAAATGCTGCGGGGTAAAAGGGAAAGTCAGCTCGACCTTGCGTGTTTAAAATTCCGTCTGAACTGAACACAGCTTGAGGGGGTTTGTTTTCCTGACCCACCATGATGAAACAGGCAGACACCGTGTTCATGGCACAGATGACCATGTGTCTGGTTTGGCTGTTTGATCTGGGAAGATATGGCCACACGGAAAGCTGAAGAGAGGTTTGGGGATTATTTATTCGAAGGCCGGAAACAACACAGATCTTTCAGCCAAAGACGCCAATGCATATGCTTTCCAAGGATTGTATTTATAAATGCATTTAATTGCAGTTTTGTCAGCCTATAGTGCAAATTTATACGCAATCAGAATATGAACAGAAGAGCAAATGCAGGTGAGGAAATTCAAGAATCAAGCAGCGATTGAAGAAGTGTGACTATGAGGAGGCAAAGTCGGACAAAGCAAACAGAAAGGGAAGAAACTACAAAGAGAATTTATAGGACAACCTTCTCTGTCCTTCATGCCAACAGGGACTAATTCCTCAAGACAAATATCCACAGTGAAGAGGAACATCTCTGCGCTAGCCAGCACCCGCAGACACAAATGAATTTGAGACAGCACTCCTGGGCTCTCTAAATTTGTTACTCGCTAAACTGATCAGAGATGTTTTCTTACAATCTGACACAACTGTGGCTATAATTCATACATCAGGCTGCGCGACAGCACCAACCTGAACAAACCACGGCGACCTTCAGGCGGAGAAGCTCTCCGATCAGCTTAAGGCTGCGGACGTGATCGTCAGGAGAGTAGCGATGGAAGCGCGTTTATCTATGACGGATAGGGAGCGCCTTTATTTTGTCTGCTTTCTTCTTCCTGTTTGTTCGGCGAGTTCTTTGTGTAAAAGTGAAGAAAGTAGCTGCTAATACCTGGAGTACGCTCAATCAAAGGTATTCATATTCATTTGCTTTCCCTAAAGAGATGTTTTATGCGCAACAGTAAGCCAAACGTTGGGCCTGGTGTAACATGGGAGTTTAGCTCGCTAATCCTTTTTGGTTTGTGACCCTTTAAACCAAAATAAAGGCAATTTATGAGATTGCACACATTTCTATGAGCTGTGAGTGTGTCATATTATTTTACTTCTACTGCGTAACAGGTGAACAGTAAAGATTAGAGGAATGCAACACCTCTACAGGCCAGACATGAGTTTTTCTAACTTCTTTTAGCTTCACTGTCTGGACTATGTATCAACTAAATGTTAGAATAATTCTGTTATGATCCAATGATCTTTGTGAGAAGTATGAGAATGCTGTAAATGTGCATTGCCTCTGTTTCACCTTGTGAGATAAGTTGTCTTCTGTTTTCTCTTCACTGTCTGTATATAAGAACCGATGCTTCATGCTTTTAGTCAGTCACTTGTTCAGACTCTGTGTTGCTCCTTGCTGCAAGTAAACATTGCTTTGACTTAAGGGACGACTCCGTGCATTGATTTGGAGCAGTTAGGACTTTTCCAAACACTAAACCAATTTATCTTGAGCATCATCTGACCAAAAAACATGTTCCAGCATCTTCTCATGTTTTGTTTTTTTTTAGGAAAGTTTAATCTTTAATCTCAGCAAATGTGTTTCAGCTGATGTTTTAGCTGCTCTTCCTGAATCCTTTTCCAGCTCTGTGACGTCTCACAATCAGATTTTTTAGTTCCTTTTGTCATTCTGTCTACATGTGGAGCCATGATGCAGACATGCAGACTGACAGAGCCCACTGGTCCACTAATGATAAAGTTCTGATGCTCACAGGTATTTATTTTTAACCATGTCTATGCTGATTGGACTAATTGAAAATCACATGTTTTGTTTCATTGATCACGTTTTTTTTTTTAAACTTGTCAGTAATCACAGATGCAATAAGTTTTGTTGACTCTCAACTTCAAGGCCTTTAATTTCAATATAGTCTCTCTAAAGTGTTTGTCTTCGATTGCTCATGAGAGGAAATACAAGTCAACTTACAAATAATGCAAACACTGAGAGATGACAGCACTGTGAATCATTTGACACATGGTGAAATCACTTCTGCTGTATACTGTGTACTTGTTAGAAAAGATTAAAAAAAAGTCTGCAGCTCCTACATACTGTATGTAAGGACCAGTAGGTGCTACAGTTTTTACACAGAGATACTTTGGACATGTACATTTTGCTTTATGTAAGATCAAAGTCTTCTGAATCTTCACTACTTTTAGAACTGTGTTGTTTTCTGTCACAATTCCTGGTTGCTTGTATTCAGGGCAGCTAACTGTTTCTCACTTCAGTATGTTTCTGAGTATAAATGAGTGTAGAACATTTTATAGAACCGCCTGTGTTTTCTACAGATCAGTTACTAAGGTTACACATTTTATCTTTCAAAGAATTTCATAATGCAGCGAAACACATTCTCGCTAATCATTTAAGGTACATCGCTATTTTTATAACGTATAAGCGCTGAGAGTTTATCAGTGACGTTCATATTTCACAAACTACAACAAAATGCTCTCTTTCACGTTACTTAATATGTGAGCGTTTCCATTATGCCTGCTGCTCATTCCCAGAGATTTATCTCCAATCTCTGCTCCTTGAGGCGAGACTGCCTTTAAACTACTTAAAGCCAGCTAATGGTAAAGAGCCCATCTATAGCTCGGTCAACAGGGAAATCTAACATTTGGAGCTAGATTATATGCAAAAGTAATTGGCCATTACAAAGCAAAAAAAAAACAGCTTCCAAAGCCAATCACAGAAAACTAATACGATTTTCCCACTGACACAAACACCTTCCACTTTAAGCTGTTTCCCTGCCTTAACCTCTTTTCACTCCATGATGAATATTGACTGCTTACAGAAGCCAATCTAGGAAAGCTTATTGTCCGCCACCCTAATGCCAGACTATAGACTTCCAAGAAGACTCATCTAGATTAAGTTCAGTAAAAGACACTTACCCACGCAATCTGCAGTCTGCCACTCCAGACACTGGCCGTAGGGAAAAGAGATGACATAGGCAGTGGAGTCGACGCAGCGCTGCGCACTGCCGCACCACATGCACTCCATGGCCTGGCTGGTACAGTTGGCACAGTTGGTGTGCAGCGAGCAAGGCTTCTTACAAGACGGACGGGTGCTCTGATTGGGGTTTCCTGGGCAAACGAATGACAAAACAGGAGGAAATCTTTACACTCGATAAAATATCTGGGTATCAGATGCCTCCATGTGTGTCGTGTGTCGCTTACCGGTAGCTTTTTCACAGATGAGGCCGTGGGCAGTAGCAGTGCATGGGTTGGCTCTCAGGCCCGACACCAGAGGCTCCTCCAGGTACGCGCAGAAACCAGAGTCGCTGGGCTCGCCGGGCAGCCAGCGCAGACTGCTGTTGGTGAAAGGTGACATGTCCTCCCAACCCCAGTAAGACACGTTGATCTTCCTCAGCCCCACCCAGGGAGACAGGCGCTGCGGGAACACAGCAAAAAGACTGAACACACAATGCGCGAAAAGCGACCAGGTATTCAAATATACGGTGCAATTTAACAAATGTGCCTTCCATCCTGTGCCATCATGCCATTTAAAAAAAAAAAAAGAGAGAATGGTTGCAGCATTTACACCTGGGAACCAAAGATGCCATTAAAAGTCTACTGAAAATAATTTCACAGATATGATTACTTATTTGCCTGCAGGATTCAACTTTTAATGTGATGGTAAAATGATGTGGAATGGCATGTCAAGGTTCTGTTTGGAACAAACAGCCGAGCTTCAGCCTGGCCGACTGACAGCAAATGATATTCTCATGAATACAGCAGGCATGACCAAACTTAAATCATCAGCAGACTCCACAATTTTCTGTCACAGCAAGAACGATGTGTACCTGTGAGAGATGAGAAGGTGAGTGTTTGCCCAAAAGCGCATTTCAGCATTTCCATTAAAGATGAAGAGGCCTGAATTATGATGCCGTTACCACTATTAGTTTTTCTTTTTTTTTTTTTTCTGTGAACAAATCATAATTTATGATTTACATTTTACAAACTGTTCTCAGTTGCATTTCTGGGCAGACTGGACGTATCTCGTTTCAGCGTGCCATAGTAGGACTCAAAAGCAACTGAAGACGAGTCGCTCTGAAAATCGAAACCAATGCCACAAACTGACATATGCATATTCAGTGTGTGTGTGTGTGTGTGTGTGTGTTGATGTATTTGTGCTTAGAAACGTTACAATGAGCCCTGCATTAAGGCTGATCAAATTAAAAACAAACAAAGCAGAGTTAGCAGTCAAGGTCTTCGATACTGTAAGTGCTTCTGATTGTTCCGACAGACAGTGAGTCATGCGGCCCTGGTTCGCTATATGCAGCAAAGCAAAGTGAGGGGCAATTATCACAGTTTATTCATCAGGTGCACCATCTCAGATGCAAAGCTATGTACAGACTGTACAGTTTGAGGCACAGTCTAGGGGGAAAACAATTTCATGAAAAATGGCTGAAAGGCGAGGATTACGCAAGCTAAAAGGACGGCTGCAATCAGACAGAGCACGAGTACACCAGCACAAAACTGATCAACAGAAAATCATCTTAGAACTCATAACTCATCAGCGTTACTGACAGGCCGCGCTGGCAGATTACGGCTCCCTGTTCATTTCCGTCGGCTGAACACCGAGCTGTAAGCTCCGTGTCCAATACAAGAAAATACTTCTGAATGAATTTGATATACTACGTTGTGAGTCATGTCCGTGCCGCCGACATGACTCACAATAAAGCACCAAAACAATGCGCACTCTGTACCTCGCTTCTGAACATTTTGTAAAAACTAGCAACTTTGGTTCCATCTATTTACTTATTGATGTTTACCTTGTCTTGTTGCTGGAGTTTCTTGAGCTCCTCCAGCACAAAGTCCACTTGTTTGGAGGTGGTGAGCGAGGCGATGTTGCCGTTGAGGTTCTTGCAGTAGTGTTGGGCATTGTCGTAGCTCTCGCGGCTGGAGTTGATCCTCAGGCAGGCCTCGCCCACCTGGCTCCAACCTTCACTGCACTGCTGGGCTGGAAACACAGAGAGAAGAAGATGCTGACATTGGGCGAAGGCATGGAAGATGCTACTGAGAAAAAAAATCCCTCTCCTTTAACCTTTACAGCCTTTACCTGCCTAGAACCACTTGTATTTTCTTTAATTTGTAAGAAAAACATCATTAACTAAGAACGTTAGTTAAATACTGCTCAACAGGGAGCACTGTGCTCCAGTAAAATCAGGCAGCAAACACAGAACACAGCAAGCATAACAAACCACAGGGGACTAAAGATTTAGGGCTTAGTATGTGCGTGGATGTCACTGATTTTACATAGTGTGTGTGTGTGTGTGTGTGTGTGTGTGTGTGTGTGTGTGTGTGTGTGATCAGCAACTCCCTTTCAGGCATCAGAAAACCCACACACACACACACAAACACACACACACACTGATATTATTTGCAGCTCCCACTGCACTCCCCTTAGGCGACAAGGCTTCATGAACTGAAAATTATGGATAAAGTGACAGCACTATTTCTTCAGATTCAGCCAGCGTCAACATCAACAGCAGGGCGGGTGGTGGAGGGATAGTTGGTGAGAGGTAAACTAAATACACTGTCAGCGCTGATAAACAACATCAGGATGACATCTTGAAAATACGTCTCCGCAAATACCAGATGCAGTGTTTAAACCGCATGAAGAGGAGCAGAAGAAATAAACAGGTAAGTCATCATTAACATCTGTTAGAGTTACTGCAACGTTTTAATCACGTAAAATGGATCCAAAAAAAAAAAACCTGACAGTGAAAATTATTGAATATCACTTCCCTTCAGGTCTAAGATGTCAGCGGAGTTATTCGTTACAGCGAACACAACAACCTATGTGACTGTTTGAAGTGCTCACACTCATCAATGTCGACACTTGAGATCAAGGATGAGCGTATTTTACAACCATAAGTGCCACACGTACAAAAAAAAAAAAAGCTCTGAATTGATCTTTCCTCCCCCCCTCCAACATCCTTGACTGGAGCATCCTGAAAACCTGACCCCTCTTGTCACGCACCAAAAAAAGTCCAAAAGACGGTGTGCTCATGTGTACGGAAACGCGCTTGCTGCTCCGACTGACTGGCTTACCGGGCAAAGCGTGGCACTGTGAGTGATTCTGGTCCCACTGACAGTTGAGATTCAGCGAGCAGCTCTTGCAGTTGGCAAGCTTGCTGCACACCTGCTCATTCCGCACCGGACACTCGGTGAAGTTCTTCACGTTCTGCAGCAGTGGGGGGAAAGAATTATTAGGATAGGACTTACATTTAAATCCACATAAAACACATCCTGTTTGTGCCAGAATGCAATGGATTTCTCTACCTTGAGCAATATGGCATGATGATAGTATGTACTCCTATCTAGACACTACGTAATGATAAATTATGACAAAATTATCACTTCAGCTCAATCTGCTGAGGAAATCTTTCTGTGTCTGTGTGAGCTGAACACGAGACTGGAAGCGCTCTGCTGCCCCCTGTTGGAACACTCACAGAGGTGCAGTTGCTGGAGGCGGAGATGCACTTCTTGTCGTCACACCACTGGCATCCATTGGTGTTTGCTGTGCAGCTGGCACAGTCCGAGAACCGGTAACACCACTCGTCCACTGTGACTAAAAACAGAATGAGCATGTGTGTGTATATAGTCAAAACACATCAGGACAGTTAATGTGGGGGATCAACCAGAAGAAAAAAAGTCTTTCTCACCAGCTTTTGGGGGGCAGAACGGGGCAGGAGTCAGGCTGCCGTGAGCCATGCTGGGTTCCCAGGGGAGACAGCGGCCTCTGCTCCAGATGCAGCGGACCCCTGGCCCAGCTTTGGCGCAGCCCTCCTCTGTCATGAAGGCCTGGCAGCTGGGAGGTCGGTAAACAAGTACGTCGTTGAGCAGGACGCTGGAGAAGCCCCCGAACACATACATGGACCTGAGGAAGGGAAAAAAAAAAGGGTGTCAACAATCAGAAACACATGACAGTTTGATCATGGAGTGTTTTAATAGATGCTAGTGTGCTAAAATGGAGAGAAAAATGCAACACAGTAATAATAATGATATGTGGGGGTCACTGAAAAGTAAGACACAAGACAAATTTACTGAAATCACACAAGCTTTTACTAATAAAACCAATACTTCACTGCTAGTTCTGACAATTTCTTCATCCCTTTTATTTGAAAATACAGTCAAATATTGCCCTCACAAGCCAATAATTGAATTATTAATAGATCATTTGATAATAAATCATCACCAGTGTCTGTATATCAACACTCACCCATTGCTAACGACAGCAGAGTGACCGAAGCGGTTGACGTCCCGGTGCAGGTCTGGCTTTGGCAGGAGCCTCCACTCATCACAGGCTGAGGAGAACACAAGGCCATAAGTGCAGGGCTATTTTCTTTGTTTGTCTGCTTTAATGCGCTGTCGTTAACTAAGCAGACCGAGATAACCCTCTGAATCCCAAGTAGGTGTTTTGTTTTTTTGCTCCTGTCACATTTTTTTTGTTTTTGTTCATTGTGGGCTTATTGTTCACAGCAATTTAAAGTCCTGCATCTCGATTGGAAACAGCACAAGCATGGCTCAAAGCAGACAGAATGAAGAAATGTATGTTCGATGTTGTTTCTTTGATTATTCGTTTCACAAAAATTGAAAGTAAAACTTTCAAACAACACGTACAAGTCCCCAGATGTTACCAATACTGGGGAAAATGCACACTACATACTCTACATATTTGACTGCTAGTATTTGTTTTCATACTTGTCTCCGCTCTGCTTTGTGTAAACACAGCCTGCAGGTGAAAAGTCTGAAGAATCTGATTAGAACAAACGGTTCGTTCTTTGCAATTGTTTTAATTAAATATGTATCATGAAGTCATGCTGAGGAACAACCACAATTTTAAAATCCAGATGAAAATGCACACAAAACAGGATTCGTTTAAGGACCCTCGCAAAACTGAAAATTTGCTGATTCTTTCTGTTGTTACTGTGTCCGACCCAAATGAATTGTGTACTTTTGGGCAACTGTTTAAAGATAATATGCCTTTAAAACTGGCAAGAGGGTTTTGGGGTTTAGAAGGTTAAATGTGCTTTTTGTTTGTTATGTCAGAAATTCATGTTCCGTTGGTAATAAAGTGAATACAGTCGTGACTTGATAATCTGACACTAAATGTAAAACCTTCTTTTATGTTGGATAGCAAGGCTGTCGGATTGTCAAGACGGAGGTGGAGATACAAGAAGGGCTTGATGCTTGAAGGCTCATTTGTTGTTAGTTATTGTTCATAGTTGTTATAATAACTAGCAGGACTGGTCCCAATAGCCCGTTCTGGTCTCTGGATATTCAGGCCCAATTAATGATGAATTTCCGAACATTCGGTGCGGTCAGGGGACACTTCCATCCCGGGGGAGCGCTCCGACAGGGTAGAAGTGGCCGGAACGCACAGGGAGTATTTGGCTGCTGATGCCAGTTTAGGATAATGGTTACAGTTCTGTTTCCACCATCGCCACCATCATCCGTGTTTACTTCTGCAAACACTGAGCATGCTCCCTGCGTGTGTCCTCTTCTGCACATGCGGGACACTTTTGGGTCATATGAAGTTCACACAGCAGATCACATACAAGTCGCATTTAACTGGAAATGTGAACAAACTTGCATAAACATCAGATTTCACAAAAAAATCAGAATTGAGCATGAAGTCCTGCAATCTGAATGTAGCCAATCTGTGGGATTGTTCAGTCAGATAATACGCTGTTATCCTGATTTATGACATAAAATGTCATGTCGGAGTTGAATCCAAGGCTGTCGGTATGTTAAGGCTGTTTTTAATGGGTTCTGTTTGTTTGTCCTAAAAACCTGTCAGATAGCAAGGTTTTCAGATTGTTAAAGGTCAGATTATCGAGTCACGACTGTAATTCTAAAGATTCAATTGTTAATAAAGAGAAAAGCAGATGAAAAACCAAAGTACTATATGCTAGTTTTATCAAATACATGTATCAAATATTCTTATTATTATTAAATCTCATAAGGTGTTCCTAAAGATCTTCCAATCATGTCAGAACATTCCACATATACTAATGTCTAAAAGCATTCCAACCTCAAAATGTTTAGTTAACTAATAATGTGACTCCAACTAACAAGAGGGACATTATTCCACAGCAGTATGAATCCTACCAATGTCGTAGGCGAGGAAGTCAGCAGAGAAACACTTGGCCCCGTTGCTGAGTGATGTGTCATTATGTGTGTTGCCACCAAAGAAGAGCAGAGTGCCACTGAGGAGCACAGCTGAATGCAGGTACCGTGGAAAGCCGCTTTCCCTCAGAATGAACCTGGAACATATGCATGACAAGGATGTCAAGGACAACTGTGGCAAAGAAAGCATGTAACACGAAGTGTCACACGCAGCCTGGAATGCATAATGAATAATGAAAGCGGCACATGAATGTGTTGATTTACCATGTCCGCGTGTTCACGTCATATCGGTAGAGGTCATCAACAAGGCCGTATTTGTTGGCAGGCAGCGCTTTATAGCCACCATGCACATAGACGCTGCCGCTGGGGCTGTCGTACGTGCTGCTGTGGCCGTAGCCTCCCTGGGGAATGGCTCCTTTGGTCTCAGGCACCAACCATGCGTTGGACCCTAACAAGAAAGCATACATGGAAAGCATGAAGAAAAATCCTCTTAAATCCGACAAAAAAAAAAAAAGTTTACTCCACAAATTTCATCCAAATCATTTGGAAACACTGTCGCTGTTCACCTAGAAAGTCTCGATATTTTAAAGTCAGACTGTCGGGGATGGTTAACATCACTGTACTGTCTGAACTTGTATGATTTCTAAGTTTTGATTTTCAATTTTTAAATTGGTACATGTCACTGCCAACAGAAAACAAGGTCACAGTGCCTCTTAGCTTCTGGTGTCCAAAAACTGTGTTGTAAAATATGGTATTTTAAGATTCACTAAATGGTTTTTGGCAGGTTTTCAATAAAAAAAAAAAAAGGATTCCGAAGAACTCTAAACCGACAGTTAGTCATCATCCTACTGCCATCTGAAACTGAAACTACCTTCAGTTTATCTGCTGTGGCTTTGAAGCTGAGCTTCGTGCAATCCTAACCATTATAGGGGAAATTACATCTATTTATACATCCAGTGTGTCACAGAAGTGAGTACAGTGGAAACCTGTGAAGCTCTGGTGAACCCAAGAGGCTTAAAGGCTGAGCTGGAAAATAACGGTGGCCACACAACATATTGACACTTTGGGCCCAGTTTGGACATTTTCACTTAGGGGTGTACTTACTTTTGTTGCCAGCTGTTGAGACATTAATGGCTGTGGATTGAGTTATTTTGAGACACTGTTATACCAGTTGTACACTGACTACTTTACATTGCAGCAAAGTGGCATTTCTTCAGTGTTGTCCCATGAAAAGTTATCATCAAATATTTGCAGAAATGTCACTCACTTTTGTGACATACTGTATATAATGATATATATATACTGTTTTTTTCATACTTGTGCTGCTGACAAAAGTCAACAAACTGTGATTAGGGGAAGTGAAGTTCCCAGCAGACACCTTTGCTATCAATGTTATGGGTACAATGTGGCAGGCGGGAAAGCTATAAATAGCTGATAGAGGAGACAAACAAAATGTCAGGGTGTCTTCATTAAAATCTGTGACTCACTCAGGTTGTACTCCTGAACGTTGCTGATGTAGCTGTAGATGGGAGAGTAGCCAAAGATAACCAGCATGATTGTTTCCCCGCTCTCCAGCTGGACGCAGTGAGCTGAATGTCCCTCCACAGCATAAATCTGAGCCTGGGCCGGTGGGCCGACCACAGGGTTTCTCCGCTGCCACGTCCGACTGGGCACGTTGAACACCCACAGCTCGTCTGTCACATTTCCCCAGCCAGCCTCCAGTTTCCCTCCAAACATATAGATGTCATCCTTTACAGAAGAGGAGAGGTTTGTTTAAGTACATTACAGAACACTACCTTATTCAAACAAGCATGCAGAAAAGCTGATGCACGCCGTGATAAAAGTCACTGAAACTGCTACAGCGCATAAAAGCATAATCGCACAATATGTGCCTTTCAAAAGAGCCTCTGTTCACTCCTTCATCTGTTCAGTTTACAAAGCCACAAACCACACACTCGCTCATCCTAAAAAGGGCAATGTGTCAGACGTGCAATAAAAATAAAAAACTGCCCTTTTCCCAATAATTATGGAGGTATGGTCACGGCTCTGTCTGACATATATTACAATTAGGTATTTGAAGATGATGTGTAAATAGTGGAAATATTTCCCTTTGAAAGTGACAGTTTCCTTTTTTTTTTTTCCATTTTTTTTTTGCTTTTTCCCTCCATCTAATTCTCCCTCCTTCCCAGTAACAGCTGCGGTATATTTAAATTCCTTCTGTACCAAGATAGGCTGCGGCATATCTGTGTGTGTGTTTACCTGGTAGGCGGCGATTGAGTGGCCGTATCTTGGCACAGGTCCACTATTGATGGGAACTGTGTTCCAAATGCCACTCTCCAGGTTGTAGCTGCAGCGCAAAGCATCAGGACATTACACTTTAACTGCAACCCCAAGTCACAACATCAAAGAGCACACAGAACACATTTATTATCTGCATGCTACACACGCTGCACAGACGGACTTTGTTCCTCTGTCGCTGCACATAAATACACGTTTCCTCCATTTAATAAAAGGGAAACAGCAGCAGCAGCTTCCTTCATGCTAAACGTATCACTTCAGTCTTACACCTACAAAAACTGCTCTTGCGACAGGTTTTGCACACTGATAACAGAAATTCATGTTTGTAGCCGTTCACAATGAAACAAAACACCTGGTCACATCATCGCACATTAGTAATTCATACAAGATGCTTCCGGAGCATCAGGAATCATAGCACCTGGTGAAAAAACAAACACTGAGCAGATGGAGAGAGAGCTCGTCCGAGCGACTGAGATGAAAACAGTCAGTTAAAAAAAAAACTGAAAAACAGACATGAATCAGCGCGGAAGCCAGTTCTACATTTCATCAGCAAGAACTGTCCCAGTACGTGAAATACTAACTTCACACTTTAACTCAGTGAATGCAGCACCTCTACATCCACGAGGCCCTTCACTGCAACCTTAACTCCCACACTTGCCAGTTTGGAAAAAGTGGTAGTTTTAGAAAAGGACAGGTAGTATTCAGAGCAGCGTCCGGCTTTTCTAGTCAGTTTTCCTTAGATGTGTGACATATTCATTCAAAGTAAAGGCAACGCAATCCACATGTAAATGGCTGTAAAGCTTGGTTTGGAATGGACATGATGATCAGACAGCTGATTGAACAAACTAACAAAATACATATTTATTTGTCAGGTGAAAGGGAAAAATCTATACTTCGACAAAAGGGACTTACTTAAGGATCATCTGGAAAGAGCTGTAGTTGAAGGTGTATCCGCCCACAACCCACATGACCTTTTCCTGCACCACGGCCTTATGGGAAGCTCTGGCCAGCGATGTGCCAAAGGGCTTGACACTCGGTAGGACCCAGAAGGACTCAGTTGAAGGTACAGTTAAAGAGCAGTCTGGGCCTGCAGGGACGCACAGGAGAGGAAATGAAGAGATAAAAGAGGATAGCAGTGAGGATAAAAGTTAAAAATACACAACAATGTTTGCTTTACCGTCTCCAAAATAAACACGATTAAAATTCTCTTTTTAGCGGCACTATTTTAAGGCAAAGATGCATATTCATGTAATCTTTTCTTATGATGCAATCTCCCCCCCTCCTCCCCTCAGCATCTGACAAATATTTTCGTAATTGCTCAGTGAAAACTTTGAAGAGCAAACACGCCGCCCTCAAACCATCAAATCCAAAAAGCACGAGCACGGGGCACTCCTTAAACGAACATGACAGGCAGGGAGGTGTGAACATGTCAGGCTGTGTGAACGGAGGCCATGCTGGAAAAGCGCATGCCTCCGCTAATGATTCTGTCAAGTTTCATCACGCCAAAAAAGCGTTCGGTTCCCCCTCCAGCTGGAGGCGCATAATAACGCACTGTCACCGGGCTTATCGACATGTTACCAATCAGCATTACAGTGTGACATAACACAACACAGCTGTTCGTGCTTGTCTGCTAACACATTGTTCATTACGTCTTACGGCATAATCACCGCCGCAGACATGGGAGGAGCGGCTGCAGAGCGTGTTGCATGAATGTGTCGGGCTCTTCGGCGTAGGGAAACACTGACTGTAAGCTGAGGGATGCTGCTCTACATTCTTATTTCATGTCCGAGGATCGCATGTGCTGGAAGAGCTTTTATTAAAACCATCTTTCCATCTGCTGCTTGGGTAATATCCCCCCGTTTCTGACTGTATTCCTACTTGGGCTGGATCAAGACAGTGGAGCCCTCCTAAACGACCCAAAGGCTTTTAACATCTGCAGGATCTGGACGGAGCTCGCCCTTACCTTGCCAGCTGTCATTGCAGACACACAGCTTCTCCCCGGTGAGGTCGCAGTAGCCGTGGTCGGGGCTGCCGCAGTTGTTCCTGCAGTAAGGGATGTCACAGGCCTCGCCTTTCCAGTACTTGTCACATTCACAGTACACTCTGCTGGCAGCCGAGTTCCCAGGGGTGCACTTCCCATGGCCGGAGCAGTTATTAGGACAAGAGTTGATCCTGGGCAGGAAGTACAGTATGTTTTCATCTGGCACACTTACACGGTGTGCACTTCTGGGGCATGCAGATGGAAGATTTGTGTTATGCAGCTTTAAGCAAAGGTGACCGGGACAAAAAGATGGGTAATGCATGAAGAAATACTGAGCAGGTCAGTGGTCATAAACTGTTGCTGAAGCATTTATAGCAGTCTTTCTGTTGCAAGAACCCAAGAAACAGTTCATGTAGTTTAGAATAAGTCTGACAAATTCTTGCACTCTTAACACTAACTTGTACATGTGCATGCTTTTCGAGTGAGGAATTGGGTTCCTGCTGAGATGCGCAGCATGAAAAACACAAATCACGGCACTTACGAGTAAAATATTTCAAATCCTGTCAGGTTATAGGCAGCGTCGCTGAAAAAGTGTAGTAGTGCGTAGCCTGAAGTTGTCTCAACCTCAGGAACTGTCTCATTACCTCGTATCTCTGGCACGATGAGACCGCTGCAGAGAAATGCGGGAGAAGCATTAACATAATGTTACTGAAACTCGCACCAGTCCTAAGATACAATAACAAACCCATAACTCTCCACTAAATTAGAGCGTCTAGACACACGCTACAGTAAACGATAAGAATGTTGCAGAGGAAAATCAAGTTAAGCCCACATCATAAAAAACATAAACAATCACTTGAAAAATGTTTTGAACAACCAGTGTTTTCATTGCAGTTTTACAATAGTGCACATAAATTCACATTAAAGTGACAGCGCTCTGATGCACACGAGTCTCTCCATTCAGAAAGCATCTCATGTGCTCTGACAAAGCCACTGATCTAAACTATTACACTAAATGCTTTGGATTAATAGATTCTGACCTCGGATTTGTGCCATTATTTTTACAAGCAGGGTCTTAGCCTTGACCTTAACTCTGAGAGGTCTTGGCCTGTTTTGTTCATTTTTACATACTTTTAGTTTTGTCTTTATAAACCACATAGAAAAAGGTTTACCGTGCCCAAGTTAGGGATCTTTTTTTTTTCAGCACAACATCACCTATACAATCTGACAATTATTTTTTCATTTTAACCTACAATATTAACATTTGGGCTCCAAAACACACAAAAAATATAAAATCTGATTTGAAGAAATGTATTATTTATTACAATAAAAACCAGAAACATGCTTAATGAAGCATTTTGAAAGCTGAAAATGTAACTATAGGTTGCAGATATGAAGATGAAAAGGTAAATTTGATATAAAATCTAACGAAATACAAATATTTGCAACTACATACAAAGCAGGTGTGTCTTTCTTTCTGTTTATCTATACCACTCCTAAAAATAGTTTCTGTCCAGAATGACTGTCTACTGAACAAGAAACAAAAACTGGGAGAGAGTTTAAAGTCTGCACTTTCGAGTGAAGTTGACGTCATCGCCGTACGTGCACTAGTTTTTCTGTTGTGACATGTCAAAAATAACATGATTATATCACGCTGGCATGACGGCGGACCTCTGAGGGTTAATATTGCAATTAGTCTTACATCTCAATTGAAAAGCACTTAAAGTCAGCATCTATAAATGAGCTACACAAATAACAAGTACACACTTATGACCAACTATGAAACATTGTCAGTCGATGACATTGTGGATCGTGCTTGGATAAAAGCCTCTCTCTCTCATTTTTGGAGTTTCTCACCTGAAAACAGCCACCAGAGGAGCGTATATCGAGTCTCCATCATAGACGTACATGTGGTCCCAACTGCATTCTGTGGCAAAGTGGTTAAATCTTAGCCGGAGAACCGCATTTGGACTGGAGGAGGAAGACACAACAGATTAATGATGAACACTTGAACAGCGTCTACAACACGTTCCTCACTCAGATCGCTGCCGACGAGCGGGCCAAATTTAAACAGCCGTTTTAATAGATAGCACTCCTGACAAATTGATTTTGCTTCAGTCTAATTGCAGCACTGAAATATTCATTCCCAAAATGTATCAGGGCCTAAGAATAACAGGCTGCCTCTCTATTTATTACCATCCTGGTAATAAAGTTTCCGAGCAGCTCCGTCTTCTCAGCGGCTGCGGTTGCCATGGCAATTAAAAGCATCAACAGGTAAAGGCGTTCTCTCCATCTCCGAATAACGATTAAAAAGTAAAACACAGCTCGGCACACAAACACGGCGAACCTTCGGAACGCCAGATCCAGCTTCGCATTACGCTGTGCAAGCACCAAAAGTAAACTCCCCTCAACAGAGATGCCGATCAGCTTGATATAATTGCATTAATCAGTTTGCACTGCTTAATTGAATCCGGCTGTGTGGGGCTAAGCTTCGGCAGAACACACCAGTTTACACAAGTACTTACTAGCCCTCGATGAGCCAGGTGCACTTTGTTTTGTACTTGTAGTTGATTGGACCGTCGGTGAGGTATCCTGAGGGTTCTGTCAACCTGGAAGATCACAAAATCAAACAGAACGATCGTTCAGACGACTGGTATGTAAGCACTGTGTGTAAGATTAACAACTGGTGGCAACAATCATCAGTTTCATCTAATCCAGAGCTTATTTGGTCAGAGCGCCAGCTACTCAAGGTTAAAGTAAACATTTCTTAATAAAACATTTGGAAGAGCGATCGTCTGCGTTGTTGTGGCGCCGCAGACAACGGCGGGATGATGCTGCATAAAAAGCAGATGATTGCACTCTGTCCCGTGATTTTAATGTACTTTTTTCCCAGAGATAATATTTAATATAAAGAACATTAAAAATAAGAAAGGTTGTAGGGAATGCGTCCTATAACTTAACTGACACAGGAGCTTTAAGGTTGAAAATATGAAACTTAGAGAGTTAAAAATCTAGTAAGGCCTGCAATATTATTTCTTTAAGTCACAAACAATCCTCTTCATTTTTTCAAATCGTGACTCAAGCACACCGGAAAGGCTCTTGCAGCAGAGCAGATTTCATAAAGGGGACACCATTTCTTAATACCCTCAAACCACGCCTGGCATTTCACTACAGCAGTTTCTTGGTATTTATGAGTTGGCATACACGTCAGTACCAATTTATCCACAAAAAAAAAGTGAAAACCAGCCTGGCAGCGAGTAAGTTTCCTCTTTTTTTTTCCTGCCCCTGAAACAGCCCTAGAGAAATGTGACACCCAACTAGTTGTCAGACTGTTCATCTGGTGATCGGAAACGGCCAACAAGTCTGATGATTTTCTTGGCTGGAAGGACGGTTTGTAGCTCAGAAACACTGTTATTAGCAACAGACGTCAACAAACATTTTCTGTTTCCTCGATTGCGTTTCCGAAAGCGTTCAAGGGAGCTACTGTGTCGAGGTGTTTTTCTTTAATAAGCAGAGCTCTTATCCCGGTTCAAAACCTCCCATAAATGTGAAGTCAGGTGTCCGACTGTAGTCTCACACAGTGCATTTAATTTAAAAGATTCAAGATAAGCTGGCAGTCAGCTCAAGGTCAGTCCCAAACAACTAAAAGATTCAATCAGCTGTCTTATAAAGAAGCTTCTTCTAGCCCCCAACCAAAGTATCTGTAGGACCATGATGATGGATGACTGCTGCACGGACTTTGGCCACTGTCCCACATCACAAGAATAAAGAGATGAATATTTCCCATTGAGCTCGAAAAAGATTCGATTAGACACAGTGATGCATTTTTAGCTTTACACAAATTGCACTTTGTTATCTGGAGGTCAACGCGGACACAAATATTCGACTCCACGGAATTAGTAATCGCCGTCAGCACTGGTAACGTTCAGGGCACGACCGCACAGACAGACAGCAGCCGTGGCTTCTTCTTTTTTCTTTTTATTTCTGTTTATGGAAGCATCACAAATTCATACCAGGCTCTCGTAGGTGGTTTGAGTAAACACATGACCTGAATTGCGTTGCCTTTGTGTCTCTGGCGATTGTTCTTGATGCATAGCATGACACAAGATTACTTCCAGCTCCTGATGTGTTGACGGGATAATGGAGGAGAGATGGATCATAATCTCATGAAGATGCGGCGGTATGCATCAGCTAAGAACACTCCGTTGTTCAAACCATTAGGATGCACACAGTTGAGCCGTATTTACAAATTGCTATTCTTTATTAAACGTCTACTTACACCTACCACTTACTAACTTGAGATGAACACTTAAGATATAAACAGCCAGGAGCAGGCGACGGGCACTTAGTTAGGGCTGCGCAGACATCCATGGATGATGAATTTTTCATGCTGCACTTTGGATTTTCCAGACAAACACTATCCCCTTCAAAACCGTACCCCTGAACGTATCAAGATTCTGCGCGTCGCTCCCTTTACGATAAGCACGACATGACCAGAACCTCATCTGTGATGCCGACAGTAAATCCACACTTGTTGGAGCTGGGCAGCAATGTGTATTTGATCATGTGTTAATGAAGATGCATGCTTCTACTCCAGTGATATCAGAGTTTAAAAAGTTCCTCAGCACAATCAGCAGTTCTCTTAGTGATGAGAGGTTATTCTCTGACAACACGCCTGATGACAAGCCGCACCAAACCTCAGACACATCAGGAGCGATGGTAATTACTGTGATCGAGGCACCTCTGCACCACAGAGTGCTCCTCAGGTGCACAGAAAGGCCATTAATATGCTCCTGTCGAGATGAGCATCACCATTACCATATAGTTTGAGCGTTTATTCTTAGTCGTTTCATCCCTGCCTTTTCCTTTCGAGCTTCACACACAATCCTTAACTGATTGAGCCTATTAGTCTGTCGTCATCCACCTGTGCTGTCAACAGCTAGATTCTTCCGTCATAGTTGGAAGGGGGTATTTTTAAATCAAGTTGATTACAGATGTTTCCTCGAAGCCACCGCAGCCTCCTTCCTCTCACAAAAGCAAACAGAACTGATCTGCTCAGCGGTTTGATCACTGCGAGGCCTCGGGTCAGTATGACAGGGCACGGGAGGGTCTCGGTCGTCCAGTCTGCGCTCAAAGCAAGAAAGCAAACGGCGCTCATTTATTTAATCCTCACTTCCTGTGTGGGTGAGAAGATCGCACGAAATAAAACACCTCAACAGATGAAGGAAATAAACATCTGGCTTGTGATAACACTCGCAGTAAACACATATGAAATACCAACAACTGGCCGAGGAACCAAGGAGTGCTTTGCATTTTATTTTTCAAGCAAAAATTGCCAAACACCAGCTTATTGCATCTTTTTATTCACAACAATTAGATTTGTGCTTCTGGACTGATGAGCAGCATCTTTAAATTTGGCAAAAAAGTGAAAATCAGTCATGATCCCAAACTTATTTACTAGTAAAAATAACAATCAGGTTTAGTTTTGGTATCACCTGAGCTTCATCTCATGCTTCGATCAGAACATTTTCATAATGTGGAGCCTTGTATCCTGAGCACAGAGCTCAACAGGTCTGCTGATTTACTTTTGTTTAATTGTGATCTGCACGTGGACTGTTTACAAAAAGGGTTTGTCTTTTGCAAGCATTACTACTCCAGCACATTTCCTAAAAAGCTGCCTGCACACACATGTGCCAATGACACTGCTGGAAGGGAAAAACAGCAGCCACTGGGTCAAACTGGATCCTAACCTACTTTCTACTGGCTCGGATCGTTTCGTGTGAATCCCACAACTGTGACACTTTGCGAGCGATCTGACGTTGGCCGCAGATAAAAAAGACTTGGCCACTTACTTGAAGCGCCCTTGGCAATGCTGGCACTGATCTCCGACCCATCCTCGGTCGCAGATGCAGGATCCGTTGATGCATTTTCCAGAGAGACAGTTCTTGTCACACGGTTTGGCCGGAGAGGCGTGAGTGAACAGCACGAAGTAAAACAAAACGTACACCGCCAAGTATCTGTTGATGCCCCGCAGATCGCCGTGGATGGCTAATCTGGGCCCGAAAAGAAAGAGTTTAGCTCTGCATTTCCCCCCAGGATCCATGTTTTTTTTTTTTCCCCCTCTCTCCAGGGTCGGACCAATCCGAGTGAAAGGACCGGGGCCTTGAGGTCTACTTTGGGAGAAAGCCTGGGCTATACTCAGGATGTTTCCGTTATAACAAAGAAGTCCTGCATATTGGTTGAGTGCGGTGCATACTCAGCTCAGCTAAAGCCTGCTGTACAAAGCTTTGGAGGAGGGAAAAAAACAGCTATGAAATTGTTAGCTAAGTGTTTATAAAAGCTGCTCGGTTAACCGCATGCATAGACTTGGAGTGGGAGGAATTCCCTTCACCCTACCTCTCGTTGGAAGAAGCTTCCTAAAAACATCGATTAAAGCTACCGGAGCGGCTAACTCGTCCAGCGCGAGCTAATACATGACTTGTTAGCTTATTTTGTTAGCTTATTTGCAGTTTGGCCTCTGCTGGGTAATGTAACGTTACGGCATTGATTCTCTTCCAAATGCCATTTCAGCAGCCATTTTAATGCGTAAACAATCCTTCAAACCGAACCGGGGATGTACACGGGAACATACGACGGTCCTTCCACGAGCCGCTACACTTCAGCCGGATCTCGTCCACGGACGAACAAAGGGATTGTGGCGTTTGTAGCCGCGGACTCAGAGAGCAGGCTGCCGCAGTCAACATGGATGTGGTGTGATGTTGGGGAAACTGTAGGGCTATTCTTGCCGACTGGGGGGCATTTGAGCAAACACTTTGAACTGTTGTTGGTCCCCCGCTCGTCTATCTCCGCGGCGATTTAAGCATCCTCACGCGTGGGTTTCGTTGCCGTTGACGCGCCGTGATGTCTCCTTTACACTCCAGCCGGGTGGGGGAAATAAAAAACCAAAACACCGCCGTTGCTCTGAAAACATGACAAGAACAGGCTGCGATGGATTTGCTAGCGCAGCGACACTAGACAGTTCCTCAGGTTGGAGAAAACTAAACACAGGGTGCGCATGCGTACTGGCAGCGGGTTCCATTTAAAGGTACAGCGTCCCAAATCCGAGCAGCTGTGCTATGCGGCATTTAAAAGCTGGAATATTATATATTTTAATATATGTAATAAGTTCAAGGATCACGGATTTCCATATTTATAAAAAAACAATTCTTATTCCTTCAGCATCTCACAAGCAGGAGCCGTGAGACACAAGCCAAGCAAGCAGGAAACGTTCCCACAACATTAGCAAACATCACATGGTGTAAACTAATGTTAGAATAACTTTTGAAGAATATTGATCATTTCAAATAATGCTCCAACAAGGTTAAAAGATCTTAAGACATAATGTTTTGAAATTCAGAGGATGCTTGGAGGATGTTGTCAGATTATGTTGCAGGATAACTAAAGATTCTCAAATCAACATTTAAAAAAAATGTTTTTAAGATGTTATCAAGGCCGAGGGTCAGCAATAAAGGCTAGAATCTGTTTTTATAAAATATTCCTGTAATTTGATGTATAAATATAGGTGGGAAATTTTGCCTGCAATATTCTGGGGATGTATTAGGAATTTTGCTGTTGAGAATGATAACAAAGGAAGGATGTTCTTAACGCAACATTTTGAAAATGTTTTAAGAACATCTTCAGAGAACTTTCTGCCTTAAAGAAGAACATTCTGGGAACATAATCTGACAAGCGAACCCTCCAAACATCCTCCATATGTTCCAATTAAAACATGACATCTTAGTCAACGTTTAGTCTCATAGGAACATGTGAAATGATAAATATTCATAAACTATCCTTTGAACATAAGATTAAAGTGATTTATCTAACACATGATTAGAATGTGCAGCCAATGTTGTTGGAACATTCCCTGCATGCTGGTTAACACTTTTCTAACTTTTTCCTCTCATTAATCCTCATTCTGTTTGAGTTTAACCTTTGCAATTATAAACAAAATTCCAATGTGGTGCACTCCATTTGTTAGACTTTTCTTTCGCTGGCATACTGTATATTTAGGGTAATGCTCATAAAAGCAGCAGCTGGTGGCATATTGCAAACATTCAACAAATCTAACAGAAATTTGCAAATTCACTACATGAACAGATGGGCGGCAGATTCAGTGGAAAACCAACATAAAGTGTATTAGTAAGTTGTTGGGCCACCATGTGCCACTAAAACAGCTTTAATGCACCTCAGCAATAATTCTCCAAGTCTCTGGAACTGTACTGGAGGGAGAAACACATTTTTTCCACAACGTATTCCCTCATTTGGTGTTTTAAAGATGGTGCGTTCAGTTGGGTTGAGATTCAGTGACAGCACATAATCCACATCATTTTTTCTACTCATCAAACTGCTCAGTGACCTTTTATGCCCTGTGGATGGAAGCTTTGTCATCCTGGAGGAAACTGCTCCCGTCAGGTTAGAAATGTTTCATGACAGGATAAAAGTGATCTCTAAGAACAACACACTTTGCATTAATTTGCAGCGAGCCTTCCCTCTAAGGGTACAAACCATGAACAACCAAAAAAGCAACCATATCTCCTCACTGTAGGGGTTAAAGGTGCAGGTATTTTCTTCAAATTTTCACCCACCTGTATATGTAAATATCACATTTCCTTGCACTTGTAATATTTTTGTTTCACATAGGTCTATTGTTGAAGACATGAAATCCTCTATTTGCAGGTTCAGGTGTTTAGTTCAGCTAAAAACCACCTTTGTTCAGTTAAAAAAAAAAAAAGATCAGTTAAAAAATATTCTGTTATGCTTTTTAGTTAAATAAACTGATTTGATATGTTGGTTAAGATAAAATATCCTGCTATCTCTATCTCACATTCACACATGTCCTGCTGCTGGCCCGTCACAGCGTATAACTGAACTTTATAACCAGGGAAGCGACAGTGAAAAAACCCTTCAACAGAATGATCACAAAATATTCCCTGATGCTCCATGCAGGCTGCTCGTGGTCGGGATCCTAAGAGGTAATTTTCACAGCTACACTCGTTTTGTTGAACTTAACCAGCGCACTGAGAATTAGCTTTTTGCATCTGCATTTGAAGTACATGTACCGCTGAGTCAATTTGTCTGTGAATGGTCTATCCCTGGCAGGAAATTTCTATATCTGACACTAATGGTTGGGGAAATAAATCAGTGACAAGGTCAAGGAGTGACAGGCGCTTTTTAAGAAAGTCATTTTTCCGTTCACTTGTTTGACGAGGCTCTATTGTGACGGCGCCCTACATCAGATGCAGCGTGTCTCTCTGAGAGGGAGCACTTATCTTCGTTTGAGATGAGGCTTGTCAGGGTGGTGCCAGCTGTCAAGCTGAAGAGTCTGTCACATAGTGGAGGGTGCATTTGTTTGATGTAGCAGGGCAGAGAGAGCAGATCTGAGATCTGTGTATCCTTTTAGTGTCTGTCATACAGATGGTGATTCAATGGCAGATGGACTCTGACATCTTCAATTAGTTTGTTCTGAAACAATTTTCAGCTCATTGTATTAAACACTTAGCTGCAGTCACCCCCATAAGAGACAGTGTGATGCATTAGTTGCTATGGCAAAGGTACTGAGAGTCTTCATTTCTGTCTGTAGCCTTTCAAACTGAAGCACATATAACACAGAGCTGAATGAGGCGCTTTTCTTTTTCTGCATTTTGATATCCATCCATCTATCCATCCATCCATCCATCTGTCTATCCATCCATCTATCCATCCATCCATCCATCAGCTATCCCCACTTTATCCTCTCGAGTGTCGCAGGGGGCTGCAGTCCAGCCCAGCTGACATTTGGCACCAGTCAATCACAGACTAACACAAAAGGAGCTCACATCCCCACTTATGGTCAATTTAGAATCAACAGTTAACCTATCGTACTTGTCTTTGGACTGTGGAAGGAAGCCAGAGCACCTGGGAAAACCCCACACAGGCACTGGGGCAACATGTAAAGGAAAGGCAGGTCTCCCCAGCAGGTTGGAACCAAGAACCATCTCACTGTGAAGCAACAATACTAACCTCAGGTACTGTTTTACACACTGTGACATAAACGGACTCTTAAACTTTCACCTTTATGTGAACTAAACTTGAATATTTATCATTTCTCGCTGGTGCAACTGATTCATTCATTCAGATTCGCCCACACTTCTACACCCACACCTGCAGGTGGCAATGTTGCACATAAAGACGATGGTTGCAGCTTATTTAGGCAAAAGTTATGCCACATTAATATTTCACTGAGCCACTATATGTTTTCTACAACCGATTTTAGTTTTTACTTGATAATTACATTTTTATTTCCACAGGATGGCTTCTGCACTTGAAGTGTAGCTCAGGGGGACGGCACAGTCCCACACAAACACAACTTAATTTAGTCACTTTCAGAGCATCACATGAGTTCAATTCAATCAGATAGAGAGTCTCTGTGTTACTATTCATTGAAGCAACACCTTTCACAAGTCTATGCTCATTCTAAAGTGTTTTATAGGTGCTATATTTAACTGTATTCAACTGATCTATATTTGTTTTTATTTGTACTCTACAGACTCTACAGACTTTGTGTAGGTTGTTTTAACTGTTGTACATGTAGTGTTATGTTCATTAATTTTTGGATACCAAACAATGTCAGGAAAAATGTGTTACTTGGCTACATTTACATATCTTTGATAGTTATTGATGTACATTTTCTCTTCTTCTATAAATAAAGAAGTGATGTAATTGAATCAAATGGCAGCACAGTTATGTTAAATTACAAATAGACACCACGGAATGAAATGTAAGACAATCAAGATGGGAGAAAAATAAATCAACTTTAAAATATCACCCTGAAAATGTAATTTGCATATAGAATAGAATATATTTTTGTCGTTGCAAAGGTGTACGGCAAAATTAAGCATCAGTTCCTGTCGGTTCATTCACACAAACAGTTAAAAAAAAACTGAATAAGAAAGGTGCAAATATAAAAAAAATAATACCAACAAGTGTAACCTATGAAAACAGAGATAACTTTAAAAACAGTAGCTTAAGTTGCACTTCTGGATGTTGCACAATGCTGAACATTTGCATTAAAGGAAGTGTCTTATGTGCATATAAGGTGTAGCTGGAATATAACGTAGTGCTGATGTTCATTACATTTATCATTTAGTTGATATATTTTGATATATTACTGCCTTAATGGTCGGTTGTACATCCTTCATGTATCTATCTAAACAGTCTGTCACACCTTCATCCACCTTGTAAATTGCCTAAACTGCTGTCTCCTGCTCAGCTATCAAAATTCTGGAAGGCAACATTTAAGCTGTCACAGGATGCAGCATCGCCTCAACATTTTCCTCAGCCTCCGCATGAGTCATCCACACGCGCTTTGAAATCCGAAGAACCGCCTGTTTATTTTCCACCAGAGGTTGCCATCGACCTGATCACACATGAACTTAAAACAATATTATCGTGCGATGACTTAACGCCCCTCCACTTAAGCCGCGGGAGAGCCTGCTGGCGTTTAGTCAGGTGCACACACCTCTGAGCTGCAGGGAAACAGACACCATCTTTCCAAGGTGTAGTGTGTCTGAAGCCGGTGCCCTCTGCATTCTTGGGTCGAAATGTTCTCGGGTGGGGGGGTGAACAAAACAGGGAGGTACGGCGCAGTCAGCGGGTTCGACTTTTCTTTGGAAATTCCCAGACGTAACAGTAAGAGAAGGCACTGATTAGATGAAAATACCTAAACAGTTGGGAGGTCTCTTTTCAAGGGGATTAAGGAGGTGCATCGCGTCTCTGTGTATATGTGTGCAAACATGGGAGAGACCCTGGAATCAAAGAGGGTCCAGTGTTAATTTGGAGTTGAGTCGGCGACCTTTGTCCTCTGATTCACAGCTGAGGAATGCTTTTTGTGTTACAATCAGCAGCAGGACTGAGCAGAGCAGCCTCGTCGCACCTTTGACTCGAAATTACAATCATGCAAAGCTCAAGTG